CGATTTCTGTTGAGACTTTCAGATGGTAGAGTCAGAATTTGGCGTAAACAGAATGAGAACATGGATCCATCATACCTTGTTACCACTGTGCAGGCTGGTGGTGGTGGTGTAATGGTGAGGGGGATGTTTTCTTGGCAAACTTTAGGCCCTTTAGTGCCAATTGGGCATCATTTAAATGCCACATAGAATTAAGGAAGTTCTGAAGGCGAAAGTGGGTCAAACACAGTATTAGTATGGTGTTCCTAATAATCCTTTAGGTGAGTGTGTATCACCGCATTCTTATAGAATTCTGTTTATAGTCAAATTTTACAGACAATAAGTAATAATTCACACACAAAAAAGAAAATTCTGTCATTGTTTTCTGTCTTTTAGGCTCTAAGTGACATTCAGATAGCAGTAAAAATGGTTCAGTCTAGTGTTCAGACTGATGAGCATCCATTGGACAGACATTATCGCTCTCTACAGTGTCGTCTGGAGCCACTGGATTCTCACTGCAATGAATACAAGGTACAGTACATGGGGCTTACCTCTTTTAATAGCTTGCATGGTGGATGTTAAAAACTTGACTAGTCGATTTCAAAATATGTAATTTTGCACATCCCAAAACACAAACTGTCTGTCTTTGTGTAGATAATAGAGAAGTATCTTCAGTCCACTCATGCACCCACCCATACTGACTACACAATGACTATTCTGGACGTCTTTGCTGTGGAGAGAGAGGGCGAGAAGGACAACTTCAAATCTGATCTAGAAAACAAGTACCAAACCACTTTCCTCAATTACACTTTATCACTTAATGCTCTATGTAGTGTGTGACTCATCCCATTTTAATAGATTAAGACAACTTTACCACGTGTTTCAGATAGTAGAAGTTGTTTTTGTGTGTGGATACAGGATGCTCCTGTGGCATGGGTCTCGTCTGACGAACTGGGTGGGGATCCTGAGTCAGGGGCTGCGAGTGGCCCCTCCAGAGGCTCCCGTAACCGGATACATGGTGAGACGAACAAATACTGAATCACACAAATAGACCGAACGCATTTCATTTGAGTCGATATTCATGAAATTCAATCTAATTTTATCGAGTTTCCATATGGAATTTTCCATTCGATTAAAAATGTGTGGATAAAAACATAGCTTATGGTTCTTCTTTTTTTTTTTTTCTCCTCTTCTAGTTTGGTAAGGGGATCTATTTTGCTGACATGTCATCTAAAAGTGCCAATTACTGCTTTGCCAATCAGAAGAACAACCAGGGACTCTTGCTGCTGAGTGAGGTTGGTTTTTTGTATCTATCTAAAAAAAAAAATCTGCTCCCATTTGCTTAAAGGTGAAGTGATTTCTAAGAAACACGGTTGATATTTGAAATCAACCCAAACAAACACACCCATCCCTTCATTGCTCCTTCATTGCCCCAAAACGCACAAACACGCAATGCAAGAGTGGATGGCTCTATATCATAGATGAAGCAAAGCAAAATACTGCAAAGATGGCGAGCGCCAAGGAAGAACAAAACAATAACATACAGTACATAAAAGTATACAAGCAAGAGTTGTTTGTTAGTGTAAGACTGGAAAAACTGGTTGAAGAACTACCATTCCTCGAGTGAACAAAGGACCTTGCTGAAAATTTACATTTGAACTCCCCCTCAAATGTTGTAACGAAATGTGTTTGAGTCAATGTGTTGCGGTGCTTGTTGAATAGAAAGTTAGAAAGTTATGAAAGAACAGCGTTTATTTGAGTAAGTAATACTAGTTTAAAAAAGTGATTATTATTTACAATTATTTTAAAGATGTAAAAGCTAAAAATGATTCAAATCGATTTAAGTGCTGGATAATTAATTTCAGAGATGCCTTATTTTGTTCACTTTTCGCCACCACAGGTTGCGCTTGGGGATAGTAAAGAGCTTTTGGATGCGGATTACAGTGCTGACCAACTTTCTTCTGGGAAACATAGCACAAAAGGCCTGGGGCAGACTGCACCTGACCCTAATAACTATGTTGCATTGTGAGATAACATTTAAATTTTTCCACTTTATATTTTAAATGTTTTTTGAGTCATATTTGCTGTACTGAATATTTTTTCTTGTTCTCTCCCAGGGATGGTATGAGTGTACCCATGGGGCCCTCAGTTAAGACTGGGGTGGGGCAGAAAGGAGGTTACTCTCTCCTTTATAACGAGTACATTGTTTATAACCCTGCTCAAGTACGGATGAGGTACCTCCTCCGAGTTCAGTTTAACTTCTCTTCGCTGTGGTGAGGCCGAGGGGATTCTTTACATTTAGCGCACTGACATTTTTTTCAGTCTGAGATGAAGGACCTACCCAATAGTTATACAGTATGTAGCTCATATTTCATACATTTGAATAGACTCTCAAAAATCCTAAAAAAAAAAAAAAAAAATGGTTTATTGTTCTGTTAATGTCTGTTTTATCTCCAGTTGCAACCTGAAATGGAAATGGGTCATTTCTATTAACATAAATGGAATATTGTACTTATTAATAGAAATAAATAATAATTAAATACTTTTTCTACTGATTATACTGTGGTGATTTTATGTTTGATTCATGTAAGATGAGAAAGATTATCATAAATTTAGTATTTACATTGTAAGTCTTTAAATATCATGCTTTGTGTTTGTGTGTGCTGATTTGAGTGGGCCTCATTCATGGGTATTGAATCTGTGTAAACTGATATTATGTAAATATCGCTTTCAGATTTATTTGCATAAGAATGGTTGTATGAGCAATTGACAGGATTTTTAGATATAGAAAGTCAGATTAATAGAAAAGGGTAAAAACTATAATAGATTCAAACCTGCTTAAATGTTGGAGTAGTGTAAACCAATGCATTTGATATAGAAAATGAGTGGATTACAATTAAGCAAATGTCAATAATTTGTTGCTTGGACATTTAAGCACCAGGATGCACTATTTAATGTGGAAAAAAACTGGCTGTTGGTCACAGATTCAGTATTAGATGAACAAGTGAACACGTCTAAATATTTTTTTGGAGTATTCTGTTTAAAGCCTCACCTTTGTTTTACACAGGCTTTAGATAGTTTTATATCTGACTGAGCTGGACATTGAGATGAATGATAATGCTAACGGATAACTTTCTCCAGATGTAGACTTGTTTAGAAGCAGTTTTTTATACAACTCTTTTTTTTTAAGCTCCAAAAAGGACAAAAACACCATAAAATCATTATGGAAGTATAGTCCATCTGATTTGTGACCTAAATTTCAAGTCATATGAAGGCTTTTTGTGAGGAACAGACTATAATTGAAGTTATCTTCCCTTCTCTTTGTTTGGAACTTGACACACATGGAACTGTAAACTGGCAGACTGTGTAAAGATTCTTTAGAATCTTTCTTTTGTGTTCAGTGGAAGAAATAAAAGTACAAATATTTTGAAAGACATGAGGGAAAGGTGGCTACACCCTCTTCTACAATGAATATTACCCTGCCCAACCAAGTTTCAAGTTTGGTTTATTTATATAGCGCAATTGAATCAGCAGCAGCCAACAAATGTGCTTTACAACATCGGATAAAAGATATACAAGCAAAAGCAGTAGAAAACTAATTTCACAAATACAATCAGAGACAATTTTCAATCTAAATTGCAAAAGAAAATCAAAATACTAACAGAAGTCAAATACACAAATAATCATCAAGGAGCATTAAAAGCAAGTGTCTAGGGTCCTCTAAGTTTAGGGTCCACAACAGCAAAGGCACGTTACACTTCTTAACGCAAAACTAATTCCATGTTATCTCTTTTTCACAATATGGCAAGACAGAGAGTCAGTTACATTCAACTTATTAATGGTATTGAATGTAAAACGAAGATACAGTACGTATATATCAAGGACTTAATCAATACATACAGATAACAAAACATTATGACCATTCTGAAATGCTGTTGGTCCTCTATGTGCTGCCAAAACAGTACATGGACTCTACAAGACCCCCCTGAAGGTGTCCCGTGGTATCTGGCACCCAGACATTAGCAGCAGATCCTTCACATCCTGACAGTTTGCGAGGTGGAGTTGCCGGGGATTGAACTTGTTGGTCCAGCACATCCCACAGATACTCAACTGGATTGAGATCTAGGGATTTTCAAGCGCAGGGCAACACATTGAACTCTTCAAGATGTTTCTCAAACCATACCAGAACAATGTGTGCAGTGTGGCAGAGTGCATTATCCTGCTGAAAGAGGCCACTTCCACTAGGGAGCACCCTTGTCATGAAGGGGTGTACCTGGGTCTGCAACAATGTTTAGGTAGGTGATTATGTTTAGGTATGCCCAGAGCATCACACCCCCTCCACTGGCTTGTCCAACTAACTGTCGCCAGTTTGGGGGTTGTCCCTCCTCAGACCACTGTTGACAAATTCTCACCCCTGCTGACCGGGGGCAACCCATTCGCCTTAACATTTCAGAGATACTCTGGGCCAGTCGCCTTGCCATAACAATTTAGCCCTAGTCAAAGTCGCTCAGATCTTTATTCCTGCCCATTTCTCCTGATTTCTATAGACCATTTCACAAGATGTAAACAACACTGGTCCAGAAACACTTCCTGTTTCAGTTTGTAACTGTTTTCTTTATTTCACATGTAAAGAAAACATCTTAAATATGTTTGTTTTACTTTTTGATTCAGTTTTAAACGTTCTGTTGGTTGTATTTTATCCCAGCTTTTCTGTAGTGTTAAAAAACTGAAACAGGAAGTGCTTCTGGACCAGTGTTGTTTACATCTTGTGAAATGGTCTATACATTATGAGAACTGATTGTTTGCATCTAATTTACCCAGACCTTAATATGTGACCTTGTCAGGAGATTAACGATATTCTCTTCACATAAAAAACAGTATGTGACAAAAGAAGTATACTCATAAATGAGTAGGCAAAAAGTACCCGGATGACGTCTACTTCTGTTGAGATTCTAGAGTGAGCATACGATGGACACTTTACTATCCTATGAGGCCACAGAAGAGGATCTGGGAATGGCAGATACTTTTTTTTTTTTTAGCTGTCGTGAAATAATTAATTATTCAAAATACCTAGAGTGTGTTTTCTTACACCGACAGTGTATATCTAACTTTTAAACTCATTACTGATTAGAAAAAGTTTGTTAATGCTAGAGGAATAGTATATTATTATTGACAATCAAAATAACATGTATTGGATTTAAATGCAATATGTGTAGGCTAAAAGATTTGAGCATATTTTCCTTTAAACGTGCATGTTAAACTTTTTTTGATGTTGTTGACAAAAGGAAACACACTTTATTGATTTCATAAAAAAGCATAAATAAGAAAGCAGTCATATTATTACAGGGGCATATAAATGTTAAAGTATTTCATGATTCACATCATTAGGGTGTTTGTCACCATAGTAGAAGTCTTCATGTCATTTAGCAGACTTAAAAAAAGTTATGATCAACAAACGGAAACAAAAAGATTATCTGCTGAAAACGAAAAGAAAACGAAAGTGAAACTTGAGTAAATGGAAACAACCAGATACAAGTAGCAAGATCAATGAATAGTAAAGAAGGCAAAACAGACACGTAACATGGTCGAAAGGTTAAATTTCATCCAGGCATGTGCAGACTTTGAGTGCCACAAGGTGTGCAAGTGTGGGTTTAATTTTTGGAGCCTCCGCCCATAATCATAAGTATGTAGAGGAATATCATAATGATATCCAGGTAGAGAATTAAGGCAGCAAAGACATACTCTTCAGGACTAAGGCTGTATTTTTCCCTCCCCATCACCAACTGACAGTCCACTGCCAGGAACTACAGGAGAGTGAAAGAGAAACATCATAACAGTGAGAAGGAACTGATGTCATTCTTAAGCACTTACATATAGTTTTAGACTTGCGATCAGTATTACAGAATATTGGTTATGCCTTACCAAAGCGTAAAGAAGGGCTCCCAGAGATCCGTAGAGAATCTGCAGAACACGGGAGTAGAAAAAGATGCTGAAGAATCCAAACATGAGGAAGTCGACGGCCAGTATGAGCAGAATGCCGTTACAAACGGTGAAGTCCAAACGAGTCTGAAAGAATCACAGCAAATCAGAATGACTGAACTGGAAAAGAAAGCAAGGCAGAGCAACTATATAATGAACATGAACTTGTTTTTTGCAGGGTTTTCTATAAAATAATGCATTTTATAGAAGATTTGAGGTTTTAAATGCATTTTTAATCAAACGATCTTACGTCAGATTAGTGTAATTTACAGCACGGGTTTTCATTCTTTTAAGTGCCACAGACCCCAAAATATGATAAAAATTTAAAGCCAACTATATTTTCATAAAGACAATTAATTCAGTGAAAAATTTGTAATCAATTTGAAAATATTTAAATTCTATTGTTACATTATTACATACTCATTCATTTATCCATTTACATTTTTGACATGTTTTTCATTAAACTTTTCAACTTAGCATCCCCTTGGGGCCCCCGGACCCTAGTTTGAAAACCCCTGATTTACAGAGAAACTGAAAATACCTGGGCAGAAAAGATGATGATGGTGAATGAGATGACCAAAGTCGACCCTAAAGCGATCACCACAGCATCTGTGTTGTGATAGGAGGCTACAGTTCCCACCATGTAGGACAGACTCAGTGTGACCACTGACTGCAGGCAATACAAGGACAAATTATTTTCTTTATTAATGTTTTTTTTATTACAAGTTGTAGAACCAACTGAAACCACACGAAAAACTAAAAAAACAATTAAACATTATGACGTCCGGACAAAATATGAGTGTTTAAGCAAAATAGTACTGTCACATGCCTGTTCTGTCTTGTGTTGCACATGGGTGTTTTGTCATTTTGGGCCATGTGCTCGTGTCATTGTCTGATCCCTCCCCCTCGTTACCTGATTAGTGTTTGAGTTGTTCCACCTGTTCCCTCTTGATTTGTTCCCTTTATAAGCCTACTTTTGTTTGCAGTCTTTGTCAGATGTTTCCTGGTTTGGTCTGTGTGTTCCTAGTTGGTGGTGTTTTGAGTATTCAGTGTTGTTCATGTTTCTTTAATTATGTTTTTCCCCCCTTGTGGGTTTTTACTTTGTGTTTTGTTTTCTTTTGTTAAATAAATCCTTATACTGCATTTGAGTTCTCCCTCTCCTTTTGAATCGTGACAAGTACGTGCTCTCTCATTTACAGTAATCTTGATTTATTAATAGGATCAAGTAGAACGAAAGTGAAAGCAATTCAACTGTTGTGAATCTGGCGGAAATTCTTAAATTTATGTAAATATGTTTATTTGGCAAGCAGGCATAATAAGCAAGATAATGCTTATTTTGAGATAATGACAGGCCGACTGTATATAACTGCTCATTGCTCACATAAACTTTTATATTTAGCCTAAATGTAGCCTACTGAACTTGATACAGAGGAAGTTGGTAAAATAACTAATGGTTGACTTTAGAGAAGGAGGTTTTGTCTTGGGTAAACCTATATATTCTAGAATGTTTTTAAGTACTTCATTTTAGGGAAGATTCAAGAGGAACCAACTTGGTTCACTGAAACCCTTTACACGGAAAATGGAGAAGAATCAAGAGAAGCATAGAGCCATGAACCAAATCAACCAGAACAAGGAGAATTGCAACATTTTCATTGATTTGAACAAAAAAGTATCAGGCAAAAATACAAAGGTACAATCCCATGAAGCATAGAGAATGCCATAATTTAATTAAAAATACTGTAGAAATATTAAACTATTAATTTGAAGATGTTCATTAGGCTATTTAGAAACAGTATATTTGACATTTATTTCAAAATATGCATAATATTAATAACATGTCGTTCTTCGTCTTCTAACTGTAGGTGACTTTTCTGGGTTGCGGTAATGTTCTACGTGTAATACAACGCATAAAGACATTTGTAGCACTATTTTATAGTCCTGTTCCCCATGTACATATGTACGTAATTGCCATAACTGGTACTAACCCTGAACCTAACCTCAACCCATGTAATTACCCAGTACTTTCTTAGGTAACTACACTGTAAGTACGTATGTAAAATGAAGTGCAACTGTGTATTCATACACAGACACTCACCAGTCCCAACAGGTTCCAAGGATGTGTGCGACTGAATGTGGAGCACACGGCAAGACACATGGACACCACTGCAAAGATAATGTATGAACTGAGGTACACCCAGATGTTACCCTGAACTGCAGTCTTGACCGTTTTTGAGAAGGTGAACACACAGACTACAGTGAAAGTTACTAGTAACTGAATCGTTACCACACTGAACACCTGTGCGGGTGGAAAGAGATATTGAAAATAACAATCAGGGCCACTGTTCAGAACAATCAATACATTTACTGTAGCTGGCAAACGACAAGAGATTCTCACCTTTCTGATAAACGCTTTCCTAATGGTGTCATCCTCAAATGATGACATGAACGGCTGATGTTCCTCAGGTGGGGATACATCTGTATTAAAGAAGGAAAAACATTATTCTTGTGATACTTTCCATGTCATTAGATGGCTGTCGTCCTGTAAAATATGTCAAACGTTCCTCAGATTGTTTGATTTTGTCTTTATAATAAATGAAATGTTATGGATATTGCAAACAGTGGAGTACCTGCCGGGTTTGGGTCTGCTGTTTTGCTGACGCCTGCCTCTTCCGGTGGCAGATCAGGTGGGATAAAGCCAATTTGTGCAGGAACAGGTTGGGGGTACATTACAGGGCCCGTAGGATAAGGAGGGGGCATGTATGGAGGGGGAGGATACATTGGTGCTGTCGTTGCATGGCTAGGGTCACTCTGAAAGTTTTGGTTCTCTACGTCCGTCATCCTAAACAAGGTGGTTAGATGAGATTGTATCGTCAGATTGTTACAACAGGAAATTGTTTTTAACATGAATTTTAAGTGTCTACGTGCAACCATAGAAGGATAAGAAAAAGCATCAGTGTACAGGAAATAGTGGTGTCTGCAGTGTTTGTTTGTTATTATGTGGTTTGTTATACACTCTTAGAAGAAAAGGTTCCAAAGGTTCTATCAGCGCTACGTATTTGGAACCCCTAAAAGGTTCTATACAGAACCCTTTTTAAGGGTTCAATAAGAACCCTTTAGGGTTCTTTGTAACCAGGAAAAAGATTCTATATGGAATGCATGCGAATGAATGTTTTTATGAAGGCATGTGAATGATCACAAAATTCAAGATGTGCGGGTTACAAAATATTTATATCATTTTATGTAGTTAATCAATATCACACGAAGAGTGCCATTTCAGTTTTTCTCCTCAAAAAATCAGCATGATTAAAAAATGTGATATTAAGTTACTACAACAGTTTAATAAACAATAATTTAATTACTACAAAATGTTGCAGAATAATGTAATATATGAATGAATAGCCTATTTGATATGCCAACAGCCGATTTAGAAATACATTGAAACAGTAAAAGAGTGTGTGAAATTTGGCACTTTTTTAAGATGGGGGACACATGAGAGGAAATAGTAATTTTTTTAAATAATTTCCTTAACTACAACAATTTTAAACAGTATTTGTTAAAACACTAGAAAATTATAGGCAGGTGAATTTGATCAAGGCTGGATATAACTGCAGGCATGTTGATCTCGGCAAGAGTTGAGAACTGTTAGCATATGAAACATGTCTGCCAAAAAGTAAAAATAGTAACTGGATGAAAAGAATAAAAACTTGAATTACAAAAAAAAGTAAATGTATCATTATTATATTTATATTGAGAGACTATAGATCATTTTTTAAAAGCTGTTGAAAAATTAAATCACACTGCAGAAATATAATATATTATTTAATTTTAAAATTATAGCCTATATTAACATTTCCACTAAAAACTAATATATTTATGCTTTATTATTCTTTTTAATTAACTCTTTTAGTTAAGAAAAGACGAGATGAGAAAATGTTAAAAAAAATCACTTCATTTCATTTTTTTTTTTTTTTTTCCAAAAGCTTTTTCATTAGGTGATTGTACAGAGAATGCTTTAGCATGCTGATTTCACCTAAATCAGTAGTATTGCAGTTCATTTCAATTAGAAATGCTGAGTGGTTTACAAATGGGCCAAATCCTCAATTTATTGTCTAAAAGCTGAGTAGACATTTGAGCCATTGAGTGCATATTCACAGTTAAAAGCTAGCTGTTCTTCTCATTTGTATTTCAGTTGATGTTGTCACTTTATTTTAAAGAGCCTACAGATTTTAATTAAATCAGGTTTTACTTTACAGAATAGTAATTTTTTTGTCTCTAGAACAATTAATTTCTGCATTGACATTAACCCATTCAAATATTCTATATTATTATATCAGAAAAAAACAAAAAAAAAAAACAGGTAAAAGCTTACCTTCTCCTTAGCGTTGCCTTGTTTGAAGCCTGAGCACTGTGAGCTCTGAGGTTTAATGCTTCACCTGTTTCACACAGGCTGAAGTAGGTTGCACATCCTCCAATTACATAATTTACAAAAAACCCTGTGTGGAAAATCTGCTGTGAAGAAGTTGATTGCACACAATCGGCCAAACGTTGCTAATGTAAAAGTTCAAACCATTGGCTTCCTTTCTCAGCACATTTTTATGAGTACACCATTAAATCACAATTCTAGTGTGTAATCTTTTAACAGTTGTATTCTCTTTTTTTTGTTTGTTTGATTGTTTTATACAAGTAGATTAATAGGAAGTATACTTTGGCCATGTTGGTTTGTCTGTGTGTGTGTGTAGGAGGGGGTACCAGGGTTAACGAGTTTCACAAATTCAACCACAAAATGCAAGTGCAACAAGTTGTCGAAACGTAGGTTATTCAAGATTTTGACACTTCATAACTCAAGCACAATGGCTTCCTTTTTAACAGAATTCAAAATATTTACTATTGAGATAAATGTGCAACTGCATTACAAAATCCATTTAGAGTCTACAATCTTAACTTAGGAAAAGATGATCCAAAGCACAACAATCACACTTAAGCATATTTATTGTAAAAAATACATATAAAAACAATTTTTCAGACATACAAAAGATTTAGGCATAGAAACAGCATCATGGACAAACAAAAGACAAAGCCATTTTGAAATGCGATACATATTTACACTTTAATAAATAAATACTCAATTGTTCTTTAGCAGAATGAAGGCAGATTGTCCGTGTTTGGGGATGAGAATATTTGCAAATCATATTGACCTAAAGAACATTCCCAACTCATTCATATTTGACTGACAACTGTCAAAAACACAAGATCAAGTGGGTAAAGAGCACTGAATAATTACAGAACTTTCTATAGCATTCATACTGTGTGTGTGTGTATATTCATATATATATATATATTTCAAGAAAAAGAATCAAACCACCTTTGGAGTTAGCTAAGCCCCAAGTTAGTTTAGTATGAATATTGAGGTATGGCACCACATAAGTTAAAGGGCAAAAGCTAACTTGCAGAGCTTAAAAGATGTCAAAATATTCTGACAATACTTTCCCTCACTCCACAATGCACTACACCAACACAAAACATTTGGCATTTCTTGCGTTTTCAATTGGAAAGAACCGTTAAAACTGTCATGTAAAGGAAACAAATTGCAATACTATCAACGGTAGAAGATGACACCGCTCTGAAGAGGCAAGGAAATCACCATTCAAAGGTTTTACCACTCAAAATATGAATCCTTGATCGAAGGCAAAAAGGTAACAGACCAACTGATCGCTACAAGACACAATAGAATAATGAACATAACACCCACCCACAATCAAATAACCCCATAAAGCCCAAAACATGGAAAAAAAAATCCTCTGAAATATTTAACAAGCATCTCTGTGAAGGGCTGTCTAAGAAAACTGCCTTTAAGGGGGTCGATGACATCGTCATAATTACCCCTCATCTGTTCTCAATCACCATCTTCAGGCAAAGCATGCGCCATATGGCATTACTGCGCCTGACATACATCTCCACACCACAGATGGCCTCATTCAATGCAGAGAAGGCCTGGTGTAAAAAGTGTAAAGTGACAGGATTTCTTTAGCCGGCCACGTCTAAGATGCAGAAAAGCAATTTCATCTCCTGCACACAACTTTCCCTCCAAGAGCAGTACACGGAGTCAGCTCAGAAGTCAAAATCTTCAGCATGAGTACACACTTAAACACACACTTCACTGCAACCAATAACACGTCCATTAATCTATCTAGAGGAAGTATTGCTCTGATCTGTTAACAAATGTACAGTTCAATTGAGTAAAATCAATCAGATGAAGAGGTTAAAAGAGCTTGATGTGGTAATGAGAGTTTTGCCTCAATGATAGAAAAGTCACTATTCATGGTAGTTTCAATCTATTTCACTCTGCCTCTGAAATGTTCCTATAGTAACAAAAAGGAAAAGGGTAAACAAAATAGATTAATACCAAAAACATTTCGTATCAGTCGAAATATAAAACATCATGCCTCTTAGGTAATCCTGTGCAATATTTACGCATGTACAACTCATTTGCGTTCATTCGGGATCTGCCCAATAACCTCAAGTAGTTCATTCAAGCCAAAGCAACCCCAGCAGGCTAAGCCCAGCATTAATGACAGATCGCCACGTTCCCATGGTAAAAGAACCCTAACGCCACGCCACTGCGGGAGATCAAGATGTCCACGCGGAGACAGAGGCGTTCCATGTTTAACTTTCCTCTCTCCATATTTACATATGACTATTTTTTAAAGTTCTTTTCAGTTTACCAGTTTCACTCTTGAGTTTTAAAGTTAAAGAGCTAAATATAAAAGGCAAGCAGAGCAAACCCGGCGTCCGCTCAGGTGCTGTAGAGCAGAGGAAAGCCAAGTCTCAAGAGTCACATCAGATAGTTAAAGCCAGGCTCACTCAGGGCCAGACTGATTAAGAGGACCACAAGTGTTGATGCTTCTTATTTGTTTTTGTTTCTTTCTCTCAATCATCTCAGCAGAAAATATATGCACCTGCCAGGGGGTATAGGCTCCTAGAAGGAAGCAAAAAATAAAAAAGTTAAAATAAATAGAAAAACAAAAAATGAAATAATGTTATAGTTCACTCAAACATGCTAACAAATCTGTATGCATTTTTATCTGGAACACAAAATAAATAGATATTTCGAAAAATTGTGGACCATACAATCAAAGAGCGGGGTCTAATGTTGATTATTGAAAATATCTTTATACATGCAGAAGTCATACATGTTTTGAACAACATGAAGGTGAGTAAATCATGACATTTTGGAAAAAAAATCTAAAAAAAAAATCTAGTCGAACAAACAAGCTCACCTGAGTCATTGTCATTGCACGTGAACATGAATCAATCAAAAGGATGCTCAGGGCAGCATGGCTTCACTTTGCTCCAAGTGTCAATGCAGCTATTTAGAGAAATATCCACCATTACATATTTGAAAGCATTCATTTGTACATGATTAATTCTTGTAAAAGAATGGTTAGCCTAACGGATGCTAACGATTAATCGACAAATGATTAATTGCTGATAATGATTTAATCAATAAAAATGATTGATGTTTGATTAAGTGAGGTCATTGGAGTGCATCATTTTGAGGTGCGTGCGGCTTATGTGCAGCAGATACGCTTAGAAAAATGAAACTAGCATTCTGTGGTTTATTACATCTGATCTATTCGCTTTCACGGTACTTTGATGTCATACACCAATCGGCCTACACAGCGGAACTTAAAGTCAAAAGCAAGAGCCCGACCGATATGGATTTTTAGGGGCCGATGTTGATATTAGGGAGTAAAAAAAACCTGATATTGAAATATTGGCCGATATTATTTATGTGTATATTATAATACACTAACAAGAGTGTATATTATAGTGCAGTACCAGTCACACTTTTCTATTCATGTGTGCAAACTTTTGACTGGTACTATACATAGAATACAGTAGCCTATAAATAAACAGAATATTTATATAAACAGTTTTTTTTTGCAATGATTACTAAAATGTATATATATAAAAAAAAAAAACGTGCATCATTAATTATATAAATACTGTCACTGGCAAAACTTTTTCTTTTATCTTCTTTTATTAGTCTTAATTCCTCTAGTCTCTACTACTTTTTCATGCTATGAAAATAGAGCACTTCTAATATGCCAACAAATTAAAAAGCACTGGTTAAGTGATGGTCATATTCCCTATATTCACTGTAAAGCCAAGTTTCTAGCCTTTAAATTGACACCTATTTTGTGTTGGTTAAGCAAGTGGTTAAGTAACATGATAGTTTAGAATCACCACCCGCTTCGCTTTAAGGTTGGTTAACAATTAATCGATTAATTATCAATATGGGAATTTATGTAAGCGGACACCCCTATATAGTGTAATTTACAATTACCTCTTATGGTAAACGCAGAGGCAAGCAAGCCGAGCAATGGTTTCTCCCTGTAGAAGGTCTTCAAGACAGATAGAGCACTCACCACTGTCCTTAGCAAGCACATCCGCTGTTGGACAAAGAATATACAACAATTAATAACTAAGATATTAGCAGATGAAAGAAAAATGGTGATACAAACTAATTGGAGGCTTACTGTTATAAGGGAGAGGTGGAGAAGTTAAACAACTTAAAAGGTGTTCCTCGATCCGCCCTCCAGGGAACGGCTTGGTGCAAAAGGGACAGCGAATAGCTGGTAAGGAGAGAAAAAAAAAAAAATCTAAGCAATGCAAAATGGATACAGAAAGGATCTCATTAAACGCACGCCTGTCAAAGTAATAGACGGGTGAGTTTCGACCCATGTGGCCCACTTTTCTTAACCCTCTGGCTGGACAATGGCCATCTGACCAATATAGTGAAAAAAAACGATTTACACAGACATCATTAGTAAACTGGATTTACTTTGGTCTTTTCGTTTCAATCCATCATAGATCATCCTGTCAGGAATGCCTGAAACGTCTATAAAGTCCCCAAAGCCTAATTATGGTGCAGCAAGCTCATTAGTCTCGTGCAGAACCATTAATCTATTTTAATCACCTTCCATATTTTATATGCTTTAAAACAGAATAAAATCACTTAAATACCAGTCACCCTGGGTTTGTTGTCCATTTTATTATGTACATAAACTTTCAGTAACACTTTACAATAAGGTCCTTTAAAGCATTAACTTATTAATGATTTAAAAGTATAATTCTTTGTTAGTAGTACCAGATGAGTAAGGCTAACAAATGGAACCACTTTTGGTAAAAGTTGTTACCAAACTTTCATTAAGCCAACTAGTTAAAAACAAAATTAGTCGAACAGAAGACACTGGCAACTGCAGCCACTTTCTTTCAATTAAAGTGAACGGGGACCAGGGCAGTCATTCTACCTACAATATTCTGTTGAAGTAAAATAGATCTAAAACAAAATGAGATGAGTAATGACACAATTTTTAGGGGGTAAACTATCCTTTTTTCAGAAACACGGTTAAGTATAGGCTTATTTCGTTTAATACATAATATATGTACCTGTTGAGCTCCGGCCAAACCTGTTAAATGTATATTTGCCTATCACTCACTGTAAACAGTGCAGGTTTAAATTGAAGAACGGAGATTTAACAGGGTGTAACGTTTGAAATGACTGTCGAAGCGACGAAACAATCTGCTCTTTAACTTACCACCGTGGCGGTTGTTGAGCCTGTAGAGGCCGATCCACGCCTCGGAGACTGGCCGTGCGTGGGTCCCTCTCAGCCGGGCGGACCTCGTCGTGACTCCACCGGTGGAAGAATGGCGACCGCTGGGCAAACGCTCCGAGAAAGTGCGCTGCGGTGCACGGCCTATTTCCTCTCCGCCCACAGGGCCTCCAGGACTGTCATCCTCCTCGCGTTTCTCATCGGCTCCGTTCTCGTCCGTCGGCGAGGCCTGGCTGCTCAGCGACGGGGATGTGTGGCGGTCGGCGGGACTGCCATCGCTGCTCGCCTGCTGCCCGGTGTCCGAGTCGCTACCCTCCTCCGACCTGCTGCGGTTCGTCTCGGAGTCATGATCAAAACTCCCGGAGAACTCCACCATGAGACTAGTGGGCCTGGTGCTTTGGATTCGTCGGCAGGATTCTCTCTTGATACCATCTTTATCGAAAGGTGTCGAAGCAGCTTCCTCGTGTAAACGGCTCGATCTCGTCCCCATGTTCACCCGCGCGCAGAGCTCGCGCACTCCCTAATACCGATCGATCGATGACTGATCAGCTAACCCGATTGCTTCCGTCACAAAGCCCTTAGGCCATACAACCATATGCCACATTTATTTTAAAGTCGTAATGATAACACTAAGAAGTGCTGAGTTTTATTTCGCTTTCAGTTATGACAACTGCCTACCGCATTTTCCTGGCAGTTATTTCCTATGGTCCTTGTTCAACGGCAGCAACGCACCATACCGGAAGTTGGCCTCTTTCCTTGTTCGTTCAACCGACAGTGTGACCTCACGCTCTAAATTAACTTTTTATCCAATAGAGGAGCAGACGCATTTGAAAAGTGGGTTTATTTAAAAGTGAATTAATTAGTGAGAAATTGAGAATTAAATATTATGATAGATGTCATCCGTAACGAGGTATTTTACGCGACGTTACAAAATTGTGTTGCCTTTTTATAGCCTGACCTTTTTTATATTTATTCATTTATTTTTAGTATTGATAATGTTTATACCTGTTACAGGCTACTAGCTATGTACATTTGTTTTTATATGTTTATTTTGTGTCAATACTAAACTAATTAATAACTATTGAAATAAAATAAAAATCTCTTGTCTCTGAACAAACCACTGATTTCAAGCTGGGAATCTTTCACATCACAATCATGATTATACATTGAGGCATTTTCCTATAAAGAATATACGCAAAAGAAAACTGAATAATGTGCAGTAGAGGTATTGCTGTAAAAGTTATTATTTGTGACATTTGCGACAAATACACATTAATCCAAAGCTTTTCTGGGTCAGTGTTGCAAGTTCAAACAATACAACGGTCATGTTTACTTTTACAGCATCATCTGGTTCAGTATTGCCCCAAAACTGTGCAAAATTCAACATGCAACATAAAAATCAGCCATACAAAGCTGACAATGATGCTTTTATTGCTTTGTGTTGGCGTCTCTCACTGGCACATGATTTAACTACATCAGCACAGCTAAAGGACATTGAGGAAAGGCTACGAGCCACAGAGGAAACACTGAAAGAACTGAAGAGGAGAGAGTGAAGGCATGAAGGTTTTCATCTAGGCTACATCGATTATTTTCAAGACACATTAATTTGCTGAATCATTTCCAGCCCACATTATAAAAACCAATGTGGCATTATAACAAAATTATGAAATGTTCTTTCTGAACAGCTTTAAGGATTTTCACAAAAGCCTTAAGTGATAAACTTGAATCCAGGCAGAGAATAAAGGTAAATGGAAATAATTATTCTGAGTTATATCTAAAACCAAGTGTAAATTAATATGAAAAAAAAATAAATAACCAAGTCTACTTATCTTTTCACAGCCAAAAAGATAGCCTTTTCAGTTGGACTTTTGGCATCTGGATCCCAATACATTGGACCCTTGGAAACTCAGAAAACCCTGATCTACCAAAAAAAATTTCACTAACACTGGAAATGCATGACTCCAACACTGGTAACCTGTCCTGTTCACATTTCTTTATTATGTTAATTGTTGTGGAAAGTAAACCGTTTTCAAATTAAAAGCATTTCTTTACCGTTTCTGATTTCATATGTGTATGTGTCTTACAGGTATTTCACAGCACCAGTGAAAGGAGTCTATTTCTTCAGATTTTATGCTCAGGCTCACCCTTTTAACAAAGTGGCAGTCAGTCTCCATAAGAATAATCAAATCCAATGCTCTGTGTTTTTTCTGAAACCTGAGACCAATGCTGATGGCAGCAATGGTGTTGTTCTCCCACTGGAAAAGGGTGATGAAGTGTACACACAGCTGTGGGAGAACAGTTGGGTTTATGATGATGAAAACAGCTATACCAGTTTCAGCAGTTTTCTGCTTTTCCCTTTGTAAGGTTCCACTTAATTCAGAATGGAATGTGACAAAAAAATGTACTCGTGTCATAGGGATAATAATAATATTTGAGTGATATTTACATTAAAGGAAGAGAACATTGTACAATCCTAAACTCTTCTAGAATTTTTAACATTAAAAATAATTGTCATTAGGTTCTCTAATGACACCAAACTTAAAAACATTTTAGAAACTGTATCTCCATTCTTTTTGTTGATGAGTTTTCTTCAGCCCTTTTGTAATGTATCAGTATGCAGTAAATGCATTTTTAACACCCACACAAAAAGCCGGTCAATGTGTCATTATTTTACTAGTCTTGATTATGGTATAAATACATTTACACATCCAGATGTGACTGCAAATACTCACCTGAATGCTTATGATACTGAAAAATCAAAAACTAGGAGTTTTTATGTGGCTCTGTTTATAAGATTTTCTTTATTCCTTTATCATTCAAACATCAGAGCACTAACAATTCATAATCTGTTTTACAGTTCGCACACCACATGCCACTCGGAACTACAGTTAATATCATTCCATACACCATTTTTGTAAATAACTGTACAGTCCTCTGCCCCATTATGATTGTTTGGCTCATTTTCTTTCCAGTTGGTGAAAGTTAAAGGTTGGCCATTCATATCCACAAAATTCCCTTCTTTCTGTCTGTCAGTTGCACCAACATATACGTAAGTAGACTCGAGGGCAGCTTGCAATGATGTTAGAACTTTGTTCTCATCTTCACTTCTTGGCAGGACAATTTTAGCACCAGCGTCAGAGCAGAACTTCTGTGCCTTCTCAAAAGTTCCCTGTAGCCCATCGGACGCATAATATTTCTGTCCCAGTTTCCTGAACATTTGAAATCCTAGGACTACAAAAAAACAAAACAAAAACATTTTTAAAAAGGAATTGTACTTGAATATTGTTACATGAATGAACAAAAAATGTGGTGTAAACATTATTTATGTATGAGTATTCTACCTTTCTCTACCACAGTGAGTCTGTCAGTTAGGTATTTGACATCTGATTGAAGTTGTTGTACTAATGCACTTTGAACACCAGTAGCTGTAAAATAATACCAGAGTAAAAATCAGAAGTAGAGTGTGGAAGAAAAATATTTTATAGATTTTGTCTTGTACTTTATGTAAACTCAATTGAGAAGAAAAATACTCTGACAGTCTAGATCTTAATTCAGCATAATTAATTTTACATAGACCGTATGTTTTTTTTTGACTGACTGACTTTTGTATTCTGTTTTCAGACAAGAAAAAGATTGACACCTTACTTGTTTCAATTAATAGTTTTTTTTCTGTTTTGTAAAAAAATATAATGACCACACACACACATTACTGTTGAAATTTTACCTGGCAGACCTGGATTTCCTTTGTCTCCTTTAGGACCAACAACACCCACAGGTCCTATTTTCCCTGGGGGTCCATGTGCACCAACTCCTGCAGAGAGAGAGAGAGAGAGAGAGAGTGTGTGTGTATCTTTCAGCTTTAGAACAAGGTTGGTTTCCTACCATTCATCAAACAGGTTGTTTGATGAATGGTAGGAAAACGGACCATGTTACTCGCTTCTTATCTTCTTTAGACTGGCTACCAATTCTATGATGCAGTATAAGATTCTGCTGTATGTTTTTAAAGCACTTTATGGAATTGCACCATGCCGAATATTTAGCTGAGCTTTATAAGCCCTAAAATGCGGGTGTAAAATCAAGATCAGCAAACAAGTTTCTTTTAACTGTTCCCTGTGTACATCTCAAAACTAAAGGTGTGATGGCGCAGTGGATAAGACACATGCTGTTGGTGTGAGTGACCCGGGTTCAAATCCACTCTGAGTCACCAATGTATGTGTCCATGAGCAAGACACTTAACCCAAAGAGGCTCTGACATAAAAGCGTCAGCTAAATGAATAAATGTAAAGGTGAACATGCCTTCTCAGTCACGGGTCCTAGATTGTGGAATGAGTTACCGTTGGATGTTAGATACTACATAAATTTAAATGTTTTTAAGTGCCATTTAAAGGTCTATCTGTATTCTTTGGCTTTTAAGTACAGTAGTACATGGATGTTTTCTTTTTTTCTGTTTGTCAATATGTCTGCTGGTTTTTTAATTGTAGGGTATACAGCACTATGGAACTACAGTGGTAGTCAGTAAGGTACTATATAAATGAATAAACGAAACAAAGGTAGGCATACCACTCAATCAATTTTGAACACAATAAAGGGGGGGGGGGGGGGGGATTATTAACCTGGATCTCCTTTTTCTCCTTTCGGTCCAGGAAACCCGTCTCTTCCATCTCTGCCAGGGCTGCCGTTGTGACCAGGTATGCCCGGCACCCCAGCATAAGCTGGACAGCTACTTTCAGATGCAGCTAGTAGAAGCACAAACTCCATTAGGAGCAGCGCAGCACAGAGGTGATGCTTTAACAGCGCCATCTGCTGTTCACTGTGGAAATGGCAAGATTTTGGTTTCTGCAATGTTGTTGTTCAGCCGTCAGAGAACAAACACGCATTCTTCAGTTCAAATTATACTTTTTTTTTTTCCACTTTTCCAAATGTCCATTTTTATAAAGATGTCATTCCTCGGTCAATATAATTATATTTAATAACAGAGGTAGGTTTGATATAGCTAAAAGTAGGCTATAGTGATTTCAAACAAGTTTAGACTTGGTTAAAGTAACAAGAAAGTAGGCTAGCCTAAATTAAGAAAAATACATGTAACTTTTTGTCTCATGTTTTTTCAGTTCTCTATTGAATGCTAAAAAACGATTTTGCCCAACAGTGAATACAAAATCATTTTCAGTGAATACAAAAACTGGACAAATAATAGAAAATACAGACATTTATACTTCAAAAGGCATATGGATCTTACCACCAGAATAGGCCTGTCGATCAGCACTAATGCATGCACACCCTTCAGCAGATTTCAATGACGTAGTAGTAACTCAGATCAGAGTTCGTTCGATGACAAAACAAAAAGAGAAACAAACTATTAGCCTAGGTTTATTTATACAGTGTCATTTTTAGATCTGTATAGTTCTATCAGTCTTTTGTTTTTCTTTCCCGTAATTTAGCCTATCTGCGAAATGTAATGAAATACGACAAATGATTTATGACTAAACGATCTAGGTCACTGAGTCTTGAAACGGATAGTAATTGCTTCCCGATAGGTGCTCAGTGTTTGTCCAATGCAAATGCAACTGTGTTTGAACAGTTGAAATAACATCAGGACATCAAATATTTTTGTTCCAAAGATATTTTTTTCTCATTAAACTATTTATCTGTTACTAGTTGCATAAATAGGCCTATACACTTTTGGTCTAGGCCTATCTTAAATCTGAGGACTCACTGATTGATAGGAATATTGGTTACTTATTTAAAGTTACTAAAATGTCTGTGTGTTTTTATCAACTAGATATTCAAATACCACATTTAGGCTAGCTATAACTGCTGAGAAATCGCAGGATCAATAGCCTATCACTAATTTGTGAAAAATATGATGAATCCATTGATGAATCCAAATAACACAAAAAATACTTGACACTGCTTTAAATTTTATAAAACAAGATCCAATTGTTGAGTAAACATTAATGATTAACCTTCTTTCTAAGGATAAATAGGATTGAAGTCATGGGTTTGTTTATTTCATTCAGAAGTGCAAAGGCTAAACTTATGACATTGGTCATCAGAACCAGAGCATTTTTTTTTACCAATTAATAAAGTGCTCATGCCCGGTGTAGACAGGATGTTATAGTTTGTTCTATAGTTTGTTTCCTAAACTAAAAAAAAAAAAAAAAAAACTTCATAAGGGAGAACAAGACTGTGTTGCAGGATAAAGTTGTTAATGAACCTCGATGAACCACAGTCTCTCAGTTATGCTGAAAAGCTGCATACTTTTCTAATGTGACCTGATCCCAAAATGTCCCCCTTAAGTCAGCACAAAACACATCCTTTCGACCCATATTCATTAGTCTTGTGAGAATATAGAGGAAAGGGTACGGAGTAAACAGGAAATATTTGCTTCAGGGGTACAGACACAAGTTTCTCATACAAATACTTTTTATTAGCAAAATCTTAAAGCTTGCCCAAATAATATTTTGAGACAAAATTGCCATGATCAGTTTGTAAATCTTGATATAAATGAATTTAATTCACTTAACTATACATAATGTGTATCGCCATCTGTTTAATGTCTCTAATAGATAAGTTCAAGCCACTTTTTTAGGTTCACTGTTCCTGTGTTTTCCTTGTTTTATTAACTTACCGCAATGCTTCTCATTTTAAAATAACATTCGGGTACTTACCATTTAAATGGAGGAGTCCAGGTGACACCCAATGTCTGTTGTCCAACAAGTCCACAAGACTAAAATCACACACGGGACTGAAGAGAGGAAGGTCTTCTTGCTTTAAATCTGAGGGGCTTTATTGTTGTAAATCTGATATTCTGAAATACAGCTCTTCCTCTCTGGATATCCTTGTGCAATGTGCTTTTAGGGAGATTAGGCCCTCCTAACCTTGAGTTGGGGGGGTGGGTGGGGGGTCACAAGGCAAGGGGGTCCAAGTTTGGGTCACAGGGGCACTCCCACCCACCCCCACAAGAAATGCCACTGTATGATATGATGATGATGATATGATGGATGGATCTCATGAGACAGGAAGTGAAGCTAACGTTGGATTCGGACATTCCTTGGTGACTTTATACCTTGGAATGCATCCTTTGAAGAAAGCATTGTTTTCAGATGCAGCCAAAGCATTCAAATAAGGGCTACAATAGGAAATACTCATTTTATTTCTTAATTATGGCAATTTAATAATTATTAAGTTCACCCTATAGGAAACATTATAAAACAATAAAACAATGCTGTTCAAGGCATGACCCCTATAAAATGTAGCTATTGAAATGTAAACATTTAAGCATCGCATTAAAGAATGCAAATGTAATGTCTATATCTATACAAAAGTGGGTCACTGAACATTTTTTTACAACAACATTCAATTACATAGCTACCAGTTTAATAGAGCCATGTAGAAATGTCGACAGCCTTCAAAACTAAAAATCACTCATGTGACTGGAGATGAAGAGTATATGGAGAAACACTAGAGACGCCTCCACCCATCTTTAATGCATCTATTTGGTTCATTACGGTAGTGACATAGTCATGACATGACAGGTGAGGAAGTTAAGTTTCTCTGGTTATTTGGATTCTGCAGCTCACCGGTTTACTTCATTTTCACCAACACTTCACGAAGCATTAAAAGGTGAGTTTATGTCTTTATTTTTAGTGACACACCACTGAACGTGTCGCACGTAATAGGCTAATCCAAATATAGTGCGAGTTTGTTTACAACAGAGTAGTGACGTTGCTCGGCTGTCAGGGCAACTTTCATGTAATCACTGCAGTCAGTGTTACATAGCAGCTACTGCTTAACGTGTGCGGATGTCGTGTGTAAACATTTTACCATCGTGAAACATGAAATGAGCCGGAGTACGGTGATGAATTTGTTTTATTTGCGTGGTGGCATAAAAATCGACATTGCGAAAACACATTTTTATTGTTCTTCATTCATTATATCAGCTTGAGATAGAGGATGCTCTTTGACCCGCACTCCAATCGACAGCAAGTGCCTACCGAAATCTTGAAGAGAGATTAGGCTTGTTTGAGATGAGCAAATTCTGCGCAGAATCGATCACCGGTGATCAGCGCGAGATGCATGCCGGTTAGAAATGTGTCCGAGAACGGTCCGCCTGGCTCTGATGTCATGCCGACGTATGTCAAAAAACTCTCGCGAGCGCAAGGCGGAAGGGTCGGATTCTGCAGTCGCGCGCAGTTGCTCTCCACCGACTGCGCTGATCAAAAGCATGATGGGAAACGACTTGCTGACGACACAGCTTAATGCTCATTGGTTTAAACAACATGATGAAGGTAAATTCCATATTCATTAAGCTAAATTCTTCAAATCAAGGCCATGTTTTTTTTTTTTTTTTTTTTTTTTTTTATTGAAACTGATATATATTGTGAATCTCTTAAACGGGTTAAAAATAAGAAAGCTATAGTCAGTAACTCAAATATACTAGGCCTACTCTAAAATGTTCAAGTGAAAAATAGCTCTCATTTTATAGATGATGAAGTTTGTAAGTCTGTCTATTTAAGCTAAGCTTATTTTGATTGATTTATTTATTTTATTATTAATTTTATTCTGATGTTTATTTATTTGTCGATGTATAATATAGGCCTATTTGTTTCACGAATTGGTGCTTGTAGGCTATGTTTGTAACTTGCATTCTAATAAAAAAGTAAAATAAATAAAAATAAAAGAACAACAGATGAATTGTTCTCTTTTAAAATGTTTGATTTTAAAACTGATATCATGTTTTATGTGTATACATATATGGGTGAATAAACTCTCTGACAGTGCCATATGGGTTATATTTCATTTTTGTTAAAACAATAAACACGTCTGTATTAAAGAAAGAAAAAAAAGATTGATAAACACATATTTAACAAGTACTTTGGGTGTCTTGTTCATTATATTTATTTGTATATAAAAGCAACAGAACTTAAATCACATCCAGTTTATTAGCAACACGTGCACGAGCGTGAATCCCGTTAATCCCGCGATATCCGCCTTTGATCTCACAGGTGTCTGATTCACTGCGAGAACCGAGATCTGTCCGGCTTTATTGCGCTTTTTTCACTCCTCCCCTCACTGCAGCCGCCTACTCTCGACTACATTGCAGGCGAGGCGAGGCGCATCTCAAACAAGCCTATTCCAATCCGACGGGCGCGTAACGATAGCAGTATCTGCACCTTTAGGCTACATCACATCCAGTTCGAAAGACACTGCTACCATCAGCAAGAAAAGGGGATATCACATTATTTCATATGCAGTTTATAGGGAAATTTGTGTAGTTACCACCAGTAGGCATACTTAAAGTTTAAATAAACTCGGTGAAAGGGTGAAAAGGAGTGGAGAAAACTATTGTTTGTTTTTTGTGGTGTGTCTACATACTTTACGTTTGTTGTTTGCATAAGACACACCTTGTCAATGTAGTGATTCTGAATTGCATAACCTTTAGACAGAAAATCTTTGAAAATTTGACATGTTTATGGTTGACAAAATAACCATATTATTATTAGGCCTTTTCACCCATGCGGTAGATTTTTTTTCTTTACAATTACAGTAGTTATAATGAGGCAAATTATCTTAAATAACAAACTATTTCTTTACAATTTGTGACAGGGTTCCATATAGCCAATAGGGGCAAAATCTTTCCTTGGCAGGGCAGCTGGCATTGAAAAATGTTGTCCCCTCTTAGCAAAGACCTGGGCCTGTATTCATGAGTGCAAAGAGTAGCTCCTAGTAACAAAATTCTAAGAATATTCTTCGAAATGTGGATGTTTACTCCTAAAATTAAAGAAAAAATCCTAGTAAAGAAAAAAGGAATTCAGAAAGTATCTTAACCCTTAGAAGAGGTCTTAAGGTCAAAATTGTTAGGAGCACGGACAAGGACTTTTAAAAGAGTTTCTTTAGCAGAGGAGAAAATGGCTTGTGTTGAAAATAGAAAAAGAGAGAGACTGAAAACACTGACGCGCAGAAACTCAGTTCCACTCAACGATAGTTCACTCATTTATTAGGCCTACTCTTCAACATGTAAAAGTATAACCGATTGGCTACTGCTGTTATCAAGTCATAAAAGTGCTGTGTGAGTGCGCTTCTTCTCTCTGTCAAAGCCCCATTGAACTCAAGTGAACAGGTGAAGCAAACAAATAAACCATTATCACTTCCACCCCAAAACCCCGGTGGATACGCCCACCAACCTACAATCCGAGTGCAGTGAATATTTATGAATGAGACCAGACCATAACGAAGAACACATGGGAGACTTACAGTACAGGTGGCTCTTACAATGACAGTTAGCACAAAATACTAAAAATGATAATTCACCCAAAAATTGTAATTAAATTATTCACAACCCTCAAGCTTGTATGAATTTATTCTGCAAAACACAAGCTATTTTGAAGAATGTTGGTAACCAAACAGTTGATGGAACCCATTGACTTCTATAGTATTCTTCCCCCCCATGCTATGGAAGTCAATGGGGTCCATCAACTGTTTGGTTACTCACATTATTCAAAATATAATCTTTAAAAGTGTTCTTATAGGTTTGTAGCAATTTGAGGGTTAGTTAGATAGTGACCACTTTGAATTGCCTTAGTGTATGACATGTGCTATATAAATAAACATGCCTTGAACTTGAAAATGTTAAAATAACTTTAAGAATAAGAACTTTATTTCATCTCTGATTCGAGTTTCTTATTTAAAATCTAATTTGCAGATAAAGTTTTGTTGCATATTTTGTTCAAAATCTCAAGAATTGTACAAAAAAAAACACATTGTATGTTTCTCCTTTCTTCAAGCAAGCAGACATGAAGGCTCCGGCTCCCCTTCAGTCTGATCTGAAGGTGAATATGGATGCCAGACTACAGCTAAACTATAGCACTCCAAGGCTGGAAAACCGGTTTCTGACTCAAGCTGGCTCAGCATTGTCTGACCATCAGTACACATCTCCATCTTGGGTCAATCAGACCTCCACATTCTCATCATGTCCAGCACTCCAGCCCACCAGCCTGTCCTCCACCATGGCCACCTCATCTCTTCTCTCATCCACAATGATGTCCTCTAATTCCTCTCTGCTGAGCACCAAGAATACACTCCTAATTGAGCCTCCACTCCACCCTCCGGTCTCATCCTCTCTAACCTTCACCTATTCCCATAATCCTTTACTTTCTTGCTCCCAAAATACTGCCAGTGTCATCCCAACACTCTGCCCCTATCTGTCACCTTCAAATGAGAATAAAGCAGACACGAATGAAAAGAGAGAAGTGGAAGACATGGTTTTCTCACCTGAAGGCCCGCTGGGATATAGTGAGGATCACAGACAGGTATAGAGTAATTTACGCCATAATGCTTTGTAAAATTGTACGTGAATTAATGTAGCATAATTATTTTTAATTTTTTTAATTCTTTACAAATTTTTATTCATATTTTTTATTTAAGCATTGCTACTAATTCAACTCAACTACTAAGCATACAAACATTTTATTAATAATTGAATCTTCAGGTCGTAAATCTGTTTATCCAACTATAACCACTTTGAAAAACCTTAAGAAAGCACATTACGGTTAAGACAACTCTGATGAGAGACTTCTACTTTGTTCTGCATAAACAGGAAATACAAATCTAGTTAATTATATTGTCTTTTATATTGTTTCTTAACAGGATGCCATCAGGATGCCTTCCATGGAAAGCTTAGAAGTGGAAGACCAGATGCTCTCCTCTGAGATCCCTGTTTTGGATATGGATTTAGATAGAGAGGGGGAGCAGACTTTTGCTCCTCATGAGGAATTTGGGGTGATTGAAGCAAGTGAGGATGAAAAACTTGTGGAACTGAGGGAACGAAAGGTGCGTCAAATGGTCACAGTTCTGTGGTTTAATTAATGATTAATAATTTGCTCACCCTACTGTATGTTTTTCATTTTTTAGTTTTATTTATCTCTTATGCTCAACAAGGTTGCATTTATTTGATCAAAACCAAACTACAGTGAAAACAGTAATCCTACTTCTGTTTTCTATTTTAATATGAATGCACTTTACATATCATTATCTTTTATTACATATCATTACATATTACATATCATTAAAATGTAATTTATTCCTGTTATGGCTAAGCTGAATTTTCAGCAGCTATTCAGTGTTACGTGGTCATTCAAAAAAAATCCTACTGACCAAACTTATTTGTAATCATTCTTACTCCACATAATGAATGTGAATGTGAAGTCAGACAATGTTTCTACATGGACTTTTGTTTGTCCATCAGAACAACCTGCTAAATATGGTTTGCTGCTCGCTGGTTAATAAAACCTGTACCCCAGGCCAGAAGGACTGGGATAAGAAGACGAGTGTGTGGAGCATTATTAAGAACCTGGCCACAGAGATTACCACAGAAGACCCAGAGTTTCTACTGAAGGTTGGTGATTTTGCATGTGTGAGTGTATGCAGGTTATGTTGTCAGGTGGTTATGTTGTCAACGTGTATGTTTTTGCATATTTGCTTTGGTTTTAGGTTGCAGTCTATACTAGGCAGGAACTAAACATTCGAATCACAGCCAACTTCTTACTAGCACTGGCGGCCCATCTGCCTGCTTCCAAGCAACACCTGAGAAGGTACTTTTGTGCTGCTGTGCAGCTGCCATCTGATTGGCTGGAGTTGACAAGAATCTATAGCATGGTAAGTGTTAAAATAGTAAATATCGTGCTGTCCTTTATTTTATGCTGTCCTAAATTTATCACCATATTCATATACATTTATATGGTACTATAAAGAATATTATGGTGGATGTACAAATAAGGATTTTATTTTGCTTTACTCTATTATTATAATGATTGTTTTTGTTTGTTGAGCTTGTTTTTTTTCATGATTTTTTTTAAATGTGTTTGTGCAGTGTTTCAGTAAATCTTTACCCTCCTGCCTGAAAAAAGCTCTAGTGGATAAATTTAAGCAGTTCACTGAATATCAGCTGGCCAAATACAATACACGGAAGCATCGCTGCAAACACAATAAGAAACGAAAGAAAGGAGAGGTAATATGTCAAAAAAAAACCACTTAATATTTAATATTATAGATACAGGGGGCTTACTGAACATGGTTCTTTTATTAAATTAAATTGTTCCATTTACAGTTTTAATATAGTCTTTAATTTGTTTATTTCCAGGTTTATTTTTTTAAGATATTTTGAATCCTGTATTTTTTACATGTTGCCTAATCCTTTTGTATCATACATCTTTAGAAAAGCACATATTCTACCAACATACAATGATTACAGTATTTCTTTCAGATTTTTTCTTTCCACATAACTTTTAAATTGCTTTTGTTTTCCACCCTCTTCTTTCAGAAAATCTCTGCTGCACAGTGGAAAATGTGGGGTGACCTTGTCAGAGTGGACGATTCAATTCTCAAACAATATGTGAGCTTTGTTTAGTTTCATCTGTTTCAATGTAACAACATTGCACATGCTTGTTGCACATCAAAATGTCTTCTGAACATCTTTTGATTTAGTCTGTCTGTTATTATATAGTTGGAGAGCCAGAATCGTGCTACAAAGGATAAAAAACAGAGTGAATTCAACTTGAAGAAGATGATAAAGCGCCTTCACATCAAAGAATCTGCAGAACATGTCATGGCCATTCTGGGAAAGAAGTTAGTCCTACAAAATGCCATTTATATTTTAATCAAATCTGTTTAATGTTGGTGAACTGATTGCTAAGTCCAGTGTAACTTTCAGCCATGAGTGACCATGTTTGTTACCTGTTTTTGCTTGCAGATACCCGAGTGATCTGAAGGCCTTCTCTCGCAGTGGTCTTAGTGGCGTCTGGGAGAGAGAGAGAGCTGGAAAACGGATGAAACTTAAGCAACCGGACACATGGGAGTGCAAACTAAGTCAGGAGGGAAACAAAGCTGCCACTTGGGAGAAACTCATCGGTGTGAATTAGGGTCCAAGATGCACTGGGTCCATAATGTACTTAATTCTTGAACATCTACTCATACTTACGTATATGTTTTTTTTGTAATTTCAGATGGAAAGTCTCTTCCTTTTATGGCAATGCTGAGAAACCTGAGGAACATGATTTCTACGGGTATCAGTGAGAAACATCATTCTATGATCCTCAACAGACTGACCTCGAAGGTGAGCAATTCTTAAATTCAGATTTTCGGTAACTTGAACGTATATAAGACGATCAATTCATTTACAGATTTAAATTAATTTTACAGAACGCTGTAATCAAGAGCAGACAGTTTCCCTTCCGTTTCCTGTCTGCTTATAAAGTTGTTTTGGAGCTCAGTAAATTTGGTAAGTTGGTGTTCAGTGTGATTGTGTTCCATTCTCAAACTATCATTTCCATCTGATTTATAGAGGTTATTAAAAATTAGTTTCAAGACTTTTTTTGTTTATCACGGAAAATATACTGATCCAAAACTGGTCCTGCTTGGCTTATAACTTTTATTTAATCTATTTTAAATTGATGCTGTTGTTTTAATCTTTGTATTCATCAAAGAATCCTGAAAAAAATGTATCACTGTTACATGCATAGCAAATCCGCATGTTACACTGATTTCTGAAGGATCAGAATTCATTCATCAAAGGAATTAATTTCATAATGCTCATTATTTTGAAATTTTTCCAAAATCTTACAGAATGCAAACTTTTGAACAGTAGTTTACAGTTTGTTTATGGTGTTTAAATATACAAACCATGGTTTTAAAAAACAATTTCATCAAGAAAAGAATCACAATGTTCTAATGTAAATGTCTTTTATTGACATGTTCTTGAGTAAGTTTAAGCAACATGTTCTCCCCTTTCAGTTGGTGGGCCTGCGGTCGAGGTGCCAGGCTCCAAAGTGATCCTAGAAGACATTCTGAAGAAATTTCCAAAGAGCAAAAAATTCAACCGACACAATTGGGACACAACAACACGCAAGAGACTGAGAGCTACAATGCGAGTGCCCTTCGTATACCGCATATTCAATGTCAAACGCAATCTCCTGAGAAAAGCAAAGTGTGTATTTATTATTAAAGAAAACTTTTACATATTATAAGTCGCATGATAGAGTTTTGTTTTTTTTACTCCTAAACTGACGTTGTTGTTGTTTTGTAATATAATTTGTTAGTCAGAGACTGTACACTCAGGAGCTTCTGAAGAAGTACTGCTGTGCTTTGGAGAAAGCTGTGCAGATCTCCTGCAAGTACAACATCCCCCCTCTCCCTGGACGGACTCTTGTGATCTGTTCTTGTTACTCATCAGATGATCAAGACTGCAGTGGCGCTGAGGATTTCTGCTTGCCCCCTGAAAGCACCGATAACATTGACAGCGATAAACTCTCAGCATCGGTCAGATATGAGCATCTGTGGATTTATATTTTTGTGTTATAAATGATTACTATAGTTTGTTATGAAATTAAGCTTCAAGTCAAAATGAAACATATTGTGAAGTATATTTCTTTTGCGTCTGCAGGTCCAGGAAGCCGCGCTGCTTTTATGCATGATGATTAACTACTGCAGTGAAGATTCCCAAGTCCTACTGAATAGATTCCAAGACTTACAGGAGTTAAAGTTGAAGTCTGACGTCCTTCTGGATAATGTGAGACAAGCAATGAACCAAATTAAAGTAAGGATTTCCCTTTTATTGTGGATATAACTTTAGAATCAAACAGGCTTCTGTTTTAAATAAAATTGAAATGAAAACAAAACACTGAAATAAGTGTTTCACTTTATTTATAAAAAAATAAAACACTAGAAAATAAAATCACTTGATTTGAATGATTTGTGAAGTGTAATGTGCAGTATGAAAAATTGATATTCAATTTTAGATTGGCTGAAGCTCACTTTAAATGCCGGTATTAAATTATTAGTGTTTTTAAATGTAAAAACTCTTGATAAGCGTACACAGTTAAATATCCAATATCGTATAATAACAAAAACTTTGAAGAAAATTTTTGGATTGTGTCATCTTTTTTGTGTTTTATACTCTTCGTCTCTCGTTGTCCCTCCCTCTCTTAGGAAATGGACGATTGCGATGTAGAATCTGAATACAAAACTTCGTCCTCATTCTTTGCAAAGCTGACTGAAGAGAAGACAAAGGTGTGAGCCCCTTTTGTATTTATGGTTATACCAGGGTGCGTTTTTGCACAAATTTCTGCATATGGGTAAAAATATGTGGCATGTCTGTTGAATCCTCTCTCCACACAGCTGGATCGTATAATTGTGTTTGAAACTTGCTACACCAACGGGGCTTTAATGGCAGATATCAATAACTATCGGCAAGATACTAACGCTGATGCTGTTGTGATAGAGGTGCTGCTCGGAAAAACGTACGTTTTGTGAAACAACTTCTATATCCAATTTCCAAAATTGAAATTGAGTTGCTTTTATAAGAGCAACTGCTTATGTTTCCTTGAAAGTTCTGCTGTTTGGAACATAAATGTGTCAAAATTTGCCATAGTTGCAAATAAATCTTGTATTGTGTGTTTTTTAACAGGTCCCCAGATGATATTCAACAAAGACTGGAATCAGGCAGAGTACAACTTTGTGGGTTTAGTGAGCAGATCCTGAAGTAAGATCTTTTGTTCATTCCCATGTTGTACTCAATAAATATTCTCTCTCATGTAAAAATTTAAGATGATTTTCTTTTGGAAAAAAATAAATAAAAACAAAACAAAACGTAGTTGGCAGTAAGAGCTAGTGAAGGACGTATTCACAAAATACACTCCTGTTCAAAAGTTTGGGTTTTGTAAGATTTTTTTTAATGCGTTTGAAAGAAGTCTTTATGTTCACCAAGGCTGGATTAAAAAAACAAAACAAAAAACAAAAAAAAAACATTTTAAAAACTTTAATTAATTTATTAATTTTCATTTAATTTGTTCTTGTGATTTCCACCTGACTTTATTCCAGTCTTCAGTCTCACATGATTCTTTCTTTCTTTCTTTCTTTCTTTCTTTCTTTCTTTCTTTCTTTCTTTCTTTCTTTCTTTCTTTCTTTCTTTCTTTCTTTCTTTCTTTCTTTCTTTCTTTCTTTCTTTCTTTCTTTCTTTCTTTCTTTCTTTCTTTCTTTCTTTCTTTCTTTTTTGTTTGTAACAACACAAATACATTTCAGGTCCATTTCATTAAAGGCCCCAAACTTTTGAATATTGCAATGATCTTAATATGTTTTTTGTTTATTTGTTTCTTAAATGGTGTGGAATTATTTTAAACTTCAGTTGTTAAAACATATCAGAGTTTGTAAGTTCAGTTAAATTCGAACTGTCCGTTTCAATGAATCGCTTTCAAACTCTGCCTTGTTCACAAAAATGTTCATAGAAGCCCCCATCTCGCATTTTGACTGACATTTTGCAAATAAATAGAAGTTATAAACATTTTTCCTTGTGTTTGATTTGAAAACAACAATGTATTTTGCTCTTTACATAAAGCATTCTACAACTTTACAATCTGCTCTTGAACCTATTATCAGAGACAATGGCGATAATGGAGTTGTTTCAGATGTTCATTCAGTTCCGTTTCGTGATTGTAGGTTTGTCTCCGAGAGAGGCTCCTCGAGGATGCTGCAGCACGTGGAGCACATGGACAGAGTCTATAAAATCCCTCCACCACAGGGGCGCAAAACTGAACCTGAGAGTGCTGCTGATGTCATCCCACTTCCAGCAACACCAAAGTTCAGGTAAGGCCATACAGATATCCATAAATTACTTGTAATAAACAAAATGTATGTCAATCACTTTGTCTAAATTGGTTGTGGTTCATATATACGTACATTGGAAATGAAATGGTAAACAAAATTTTTCCTTGTCAATTCTCTTTTTTATTCTTTTCTCTCTTTACAGATGGAAAGGTGTGCGAGTGTTCATCTCTTCTACGTTCAGGGACATGCATGCAGAGAGGGATGTTCTTGTGCGTAGTGTGTTTCCAGAGCTCAGAAGGCGGGCAGCGGCACACTATCTGTACCTGCAGGAAGTGGAGCTGCGCTGGGGCGTTACGGAGGAGGAGTCTAACCGTGCTGTGGAGCTCTGTCTATCGGAGGTCTGCCGCAGCCAGCTCCTGCTGGGGATTCTGGGGGAGAGATATGGCCTAGTGCCGCCCCAAACCTCACTACCTGAACTTCCTCAATACAACTGGGTAATAATTTCATATATTTATCTGATAGATACTTTTATCAAAATTTTGATACAGGTGATTAGTCATGTGCTGCATTTCTAAGAGTCTACGACTTCGTTTAAATGTGCAGTAAGCGATTTATGAGAAATTTTGTTGAAAGTGGATTGGACCGAGCATCACAACACACTTGTAGCCAATCAGCCGTAGGGGACTTATACACTCATGATGGGGGAGGAGAGAGAGTGAACAAGAGAGAGATCTGAAGAAAGACTATAGAACACTAATAGACTACACTGTTTTTGGTGAAGATTTATTTTGCTTTGCTTCAGCTATGACAAAGAGACATCCACTCTTGCATTGTGTGTTTGTGCATTTTGGGTGTGGAGCAATGAAGGGAGGGGTTTGTTTGATTAGGTTGATTTCAAATATCAACATTGTTTCTAAGAAATCAATCACTTACTGCACTTTTAATATTCACCAGAGTTGACGTTGAAATGTATGAGCTAGAGAAGAGAAGAAAGGTAAAAAATGTAAACATTTCTATTTCAACTTTCTATTAGTGGAATTGTAAAAAAAAAAAAAAAAAAAGGGACACTGATGACTAGAGTAATGAAAATTCAGCTTTGTCATCACAGGAATAAGTTGCATATTAAAATAGAAAAGTTATTTTAAATTAGAATATTTCGCAATATTATTGTTTTTACTATATTTTTGTATACTATTTACTATATACTAGTATACCCTTGCCCTATGTTCAGAGTCAGTCTTTTACGTATTTACTTAAAATGACCAGGGATGCACAATACATTAGTGCTACCATGCTATTACGTATTTTACTTTTGCCTTACTCTAACACTCACTTAAAGAAAATCTTTCAAAGAACAAATAGTTTACGAACACCATTTAATGTAATGTTTAGCAAATCTCAAAATTATGCTGTGATGCCTAAATGATTTTAGTTTTTTATATTTAACTTTTAGTTTAAGATTTATCTTGACAAAATAGTATAGAATTTAATTTATTTAGACAAAGCCATTTATTGGTTAGCCATAACATTGTAACCGCTAATATTATTGGTATCAGCAGAATTGTAATATTGGTTAATCCCTAAATTACTAATATGTAGCCAAAGCAGTACAAAACGACACTGTATAGTGGTTTGGGCCCCTTGTGCTGAAGTTTCATGAATTACTTTCATGCTTCATTCTGTCAGCTAAACTCTGCGCCTGATGGGTTATCCATTACTGAAATGGAGATTCGACAGTTTCAAGCGCTGTATCCAGACTCTGCCCAGAGCCGCATGTTCTTCTACTTCAGATCTCCCCATCTCACCAGGTAGACATTCATTCATCATTTGTCAGATCTGATTCATTTTTGTTTCTGCAGGCTGTTCTCAGTCAGTTTTGATGTAATGAAATAAATTATGGACAAAAAACAATTACAGTTGCCAGCTAATGTTTCTGAGGCTATGTGATTTAAGTACATTATGTCACATCAACTACATGTTATGTGTTTGTATGTTTAGCTCAGTGCCAGTGGCATGGAAAACAGACTTTGTGGCAGAATCCAAAGAAGCCGAAGCTAAAATGAGCAGCCTGAAAACATGGATCCTGAACAATAAGTTTAAAGTGACAGAAAAGTAAGTTCTGCACATTTGTTTTGTGTTGCACGATGAGGAATGACATTGCATTTATTATTTGTGCCCTGCTTCATATTGTCTTAGTTATCCCTGTGAATGGGGTGGGGTGGTGGATGGAAAGCCCTATGTGAAAGGACTGGAGGACTTTGGGAGAGCAGCGGTGGAGGATATCTGGGAAGCAGTGCAGCAGCTCTTTGTGGAGGTCAGAGTCTCATTAAAACCAATGAAAATAACTGTTTTCATAAGCTCTACTTTATTGGGGCCACTCACTGTTTAAAACAACATTTGAAAGATAAATCAATTAAACAATGAATAAGAATGATGAGGATCTGCAATATAGTCTGCAATATAATCATTAAAAAATAATCTTAGATGAGTAAATTGAAAATATGATATTAATTTTAAATTCAGTACTCACCTATATTTAGTGTATTCTACTTCTATATATAAATATTGGGTTTGGGATATTCGGCAGTCTACATATAGAATTGCTGAAATCTGTTTATTAGGTCCCAACTTCATTGATTAGAACATGCAAAGATTCAATTACCAATCACTTTATAGTCACATGCCATTATTTCTACAATATCAAGCTGGTAAATTTATATTTTCAATTTGATTATCTATCAATATTTTATTAGATTATTTTGTATTATCAAATTGTTAATTATATTCATATCTCTTTTTTTTTTTTTTTACACATTTCATAATTTATTTGATTAAATTTTTTTTTTCTTGACATATGGGCCCCATACATCCCAGTGCTTATTTTACACTTATTAATTAGTGTAGTGATTTTCAGGATTTTTTTTCTCTCCTTTTTTTGTAGGAGACAGATGAAGATTTGATCTCAGAGATTAAAGAACAGGAAGTCCATCAGGAATCCCAACAGCGGCAGTTTCACGGCAGGGCAAAGCTTATTTCTATGGCAACAGAGAAAGTTCAAGAATGTCAGCAAAAAGGAGGAGTTCTGATGGTTGAGGGAAAACCTGGAGAGGGCAAAACTGTGTTCATGGTAACTGTACATTTGTACTATAAACCATCTGTATCCACATGTATTAATGCTAAATTTATGATGAATTACTAGAACTACATCTGAATATCTCTTTATATCTTCTGTTTTATTAAGGCTGCCCTGGCCCAGGCCCTCAAAACCTCTGTCAAAAACAAGAAAGCCCCTCTTTGTGATGCCATATCCTACTCCACAGACGCTAGCCAGTCTGCTTGCAGTGTTGAGCAGCTTCTGCGCTGTCTTGTTCAGTGGCTGAGGAAAAGAAAAGATGATGTGGAGTTGTCTCCAAACACCTCTTATAAGTAAGGAAGGATCTGATGTAACATGCGTTGTTAAATGCAAACACAAGCAAACTCATTTCATAATTATTCTGTTGTTGCATTACAGGGACTTGTTGTCTGAGTTCCAGTTGAACTTGAAGGACCTGAACAAAGAGAAGCCACTGGCCTTGCTTGTTGATGGGGCGGACCGTGTCCATGATAGTCGTGGTCAAAGGGTGTCAGAATGGATACCACAGCACATCCCTAAGGTAAGAGAGAGAAACATGCACACTTAAAGGGGTTGTTCGCCCAAAAAAATGTTGTTCCAACCTATGAAAGTTTCATTCACAAAACAAATGTAAAAGATATTTTTTATGAAATCTTGGAGATTTTTGTCCCTCCATTGAAAATCTGATGCTTTAAAACGATCATAAAGAGATAATAAAAGAAGTCCATGTGAATCGAGCAGTTTAATCCATGTCTTCACAAGAAACACAATTGCTTTATTTGATGAACATTTTAATTTAGGCTTTTATTCACATATAAACATTGGTCAGCGGATTGACATAGAGCACTCAAATATGATAAATGGAAGCTCAAGCATGCTTGCCAGTCAATGTTTATAAGGGAATAAACTTAAATAGACTAAGTAGACTTTCAGTGGTGGGAGAGAAATCTCTCAGATTTCATTAAAAATATCTTCATTTGTGTTTTGAAGATAAACTAACGTCTTATGGGTTTGGAACAACATGAGGGTGAATAAATGAAATAAAGTGTGTTAAAACAATTATGAAACTTTCTCATCAACTAATTACTGTGTTCATTTTACTGTCCTCTTAGGGTGTCTGTTTGGTCCTGAGTGTGACTTCAGAATCATCCCTTCAAAACACTATTAGCAAAAGGAAAGGTGCAGTGTCATTTCCACTGGGGCAGTTATCTTTACCTGACAAGAAGGAGATTGTGCAGAAGCAGCTTGTTGGCTTTGGGAAGAAACTGAGTGATTCTGCTTTCAATAACCAGGTGAAATTCCCTTTTGCTCTCGGGCTGTTGGAGTACTATAAGGAAATATTGAGAGCTGTCTTTCTGAATTTGTTTAGTGAATTTATTGTTGTGTTCCCCTGTAGCTTCAGACACTGCTGATGAAGAAAGGCTCCATGAGTCCACTTTACCTCCATTTAGCCTGCGAGGAGCTCAGAAATTATGCCTCCTTTGAGAAGGTAAATTATTGTTAAATCATTTCTTTTATAGTGATGTGCATAATGTTATTTAGTCAAGTCAAGTATATTTATATAGCGCTTTTCACAATATAGATTGCATCAAAGCAGCTTCTTTCTTCATTTCTTTAGCTTAATGTTGATGATGAAATTTATCATTTAGATGAAGGACAGCCTCCAGTCTCTTCCTCAGTCCCTTGGTGAGCTGGTGCAGCACAGTCTGCTGAGGCTGGAGACTGAATATTGCAGAGCTGGTCTGGGATGGGCATTAGGAACTCTTGCCATCAGCTCCACCGGTACAAGACATTTATTTATTGCTAACTGATCTGCAAGAGCTGTTATACGTGATCTTAATTTAATCCTGTTTTACACATTTTTATTTCTTTAAAGCTGAAGTTGGCAAGATTTTTTTGATCATATTCACTGAAACCGACACTATGCTCCGACAGAACAACATAAATCAGCCGGTTTTAGAAAAAAAACACGCGCTTCTACCTCGCACGTCCTGATTCTGCCGAGTTAGACGCGTTCCTGGGTCAACAAGGGAGGTGCCTTGTGCAAAATTGATCAACCAATCAGATTCAGCATGTGACATCACCCAGATCGAGCGCCACTTTTTGATTTTCTCAGGCTTCAACGTCTCTGCTTCATTTCACAGAGCGAGGTAAGTGCAATTTGTCCGTATACTCAGTGGAATGTGTTCATTTTAATCTTACGATTAATTAATTAGTCACGCTAACATGAACTAAACTGCTTAAATAAGGTGTGAATCTCCTCCGACCGCGATCGTTTCGTCATCCGATCCGGTATGGTGTTTTCCCCGTGATCGTATCGTCGGATCTTTTCCCCCGTTGATATATCACTTTTCCCCTGCAATCGTTTAGCAGACCCTCATGCTAATCCTTTTGCAAAAGAAAACCAAAACACTTTCGCGAGTGGGACCAAATACCAATAATGCAGGTTTTTCAATCAAAATAATATCGATCTAATATAAGACAAACTGTAAAATATCAATGTATTTAAATAATAATAGCAATGTTAATACAATATCTAGTTGGCCTAAAAGGCAAACTGTAGCCTAATGTAATAATAATAATGAAATATCTCGTGTTGACCCAGGGACATATTTTTATGTTGACCCAGGGACATCATTCCTTATTACTCATCTAATATTAGACAAACAGTTATCAATCACAGTATTTAAATAATCATAATGATAATATAATATCTAGTAGGCAAACTGTAATATCTCACTTAATAGTAATAATAATAATAAGAATTAAATATCTTTTGTTGACCCAGGAACATCATATTTTTATGTTGACCCAGGGACATTATTCTTTATTTCTCATCTAATATTAGACAAACAGTAATCAATCACTGTATTTAAATAATCATAATAATAATTTAATATCTAGTATAAGACAAACTGTAACATTTCACTATCTAATAATAATAATAATAATAACGAAATATCCTTTGTTGACCCAGGAACATCATATTTTTATGTTGACCCAGGGACATTATTCCTTATTACTCACCTAAAATTAGACAAACAGTAATCAACACTGTATTTAAATAATCATAACAATAATATCTAGTATAAGACAAACTGTAATATTTTACTATATAGGCCTAATAGTAATAATTGTAGTAATAATAATAAATAAATATCTTGTGTTGACCCAGGAACATTGTATTTTTATGTTGACCCAGGGACATTATTCCTTATTACTCATCTAATAGACAGACATCAATCACTGTATTTAAATAATCATAACAATAATATCTAGTATAAGACAAACTGTAATATTTCACTATATAATAATAATAATAATAATAATAATAATAAAAATAATGAAATATCCTTTGTTGACCTAGGAACATCATATTTTTATGTTGACCCAGGGACATTATTCCTTATTACTCATCTAATATTAGACAAACTGTAATCAATCACTGTATTTAAATAATTATTATAATAATATCTAGTATAAGACAAACTGTAATATTTCACTATATAATAGTAATAATAGTGAAATATCTTTTGTTGACCCAGGAACATCTTATTTTTATGTTGACCCAGGGACATGTTCCTCATCTAATATTAGACAAACAGTAATCAATCACTGTATTTAAATAATCACAATAATAATAAAATATCTAGTATAAGACAAACTGTAATATTTCACTATATAGTAGTAATAATAATAATAATAGTAATAGTGAAATAACGAAATATCTTTTGTTGACCCAGAAACATTATATTTTTATGTTGACCCAGGGACATCATTCCTAATTACTCATCTAATATTAGACAAACAGTAATCAATCACTGTATTTAAATAATCTAATCATAATAATAATATGATATATAATATTAGACAAGCAGTAATCAATCACTGTGTTTAAATAATGATAATAAGAATAATGAAATATGTTTTGTTGACATAGGAACATTTTTAAGTTGACCCAGGGACATCATTACTTATTACTCATCTAATATTAGACAACGAGTTATCAATCACAGTATTTAAATAATCATAATAATAATATAATATCTAGTATAAGACAAACTGTAATATTTCACTATATAATAATAATAATCATAATAATAATAGTCAAATATCTTTTGTTGACCCAGGAACATCATATTGTTATGTTGGCCTAGGGATATTATTCCTTATTACTCATCTAGTATTAGACAAACAGTAATCAATCACTGTATTTAAATAATAATAATAATAATAATAAATGAAATATGTTGTGTTGACATAGGAACATTTTTATGTTGACCCAGGGACATCATTCCTTATTACTCATCTATTAGACAAACAGTTATCAATCACTGTATTTAAATAATCTTAATAATAATATAATCTAGTATAAGACAAACTGTAATATTTCACTATATAATAATAGTGAAATATCTTTTGTTGACCCAGGGACATCATTCCTCATTACTCATCTAATATTAGACAAACAGTAATCAATCACAGTATTTAAAAAATCATAATAATAATTATACATTATCTAATATGAGTCAAAATGTAATATATGTAATATGTAATCATAATAATGAAATATCTTTTGCAGATTAAACAAACCGTCTAGGACGTTTTTTTTTTTTTTTTTTTGACAATTTAAAACAGCGGACATACTTATATGACGGAAAATGATGACATAGGATGCAATCAAATCGTCATAAGTGCAGAGATCAGAAGAAAAAAAATGATTGGCTCCTAATTATAATGAATTATCTTCTGCTGACAACAGGGTGTTATATTGTAATATTATAAATATAAGTTGTATTTACTCTAATTATAATAGTGGTTACACTATTTTAAGAATACAAGAGACATCCTGAGACAACAACCCTAGAGTTAATACATGTTTTTCTCCCCAGAATGTAAAGAGAAATGGAGGATTTCATTAAGAAAACCGTGTTGCGTGAAGAAAGACAAAGAGGAAAAAACAAAAATATTACAGTTGATGTGCATATTCTGAAGAAAGAAGAAAATCATGAGACGTTCATACAAGAAAAACTAAAAACTTTGACAAATTTTAGAAACACAAATTCTGCAAGTCAAAAGGACAAGGATAAAGGGTACTACATTTTCTACTGTATCCGGTCAGGGAACCCTGTTGATGGAAGTTACAAGAGCTTAGGATGTCTGGCTTACACATCATTTAAGGTTAAAAGTGATTGGCTGAGCCACAAAATAATTGTACAACGCACCAGTAAAGAGCACAATGGGCACAATGCAGCTTGTGAACAAGAAGGACACTTTCAAACAGTGTGTCCAGATTTGGTCAAACAAATTGAAGAATGGATCTCATTGGGTGTCAAGCCAGATATCATTCTACTGGAATCCCACAAATGGTCCAGATCTCATGGACACAGCGACTTGAACAACCGTCAGTACTTTGTCACTCCAAAGGACATTGAGAATATACGTACATGCTTGGTACGTCGGAGTCATTTGGATAAAGATGATGCTGTTAGTTCAGCCAAATTATTGACCAGTCACCTCAAGGACAATGTAGTTTTTTTTCAGCCTTTTTCCCATGAGAATGATCTCATAATTATCCTTCAGACTCCCAACATGAGAGAGAATCTACACAGACATGGAAAGAACATTATATTTTTGGATGCTACTCATTGCGTCAACCAGTATAATTTTCCACTTTATACCTTGGCTATAAGAGATGACTATGGCCATGGGGTTCCAGTTGCATTTATAGTAACAGGCAATGAGAAAGAGGCAACACTAGAGATAGCTTTACAGCAGTTAAGGAGAGTGTGTCCTGCTGCACCAAGGTATGTATATTTTTTAGTTTTTTTTTTTTTTTTTAAGTTTAATTAATTTCACACACTTGAAGTAGAACTATTTGTCTGGCCCCTAGAAATCTCACTGCCCTGCCAAAAAAATTACTCTGTAACATTTATTTTAGTGTCCTTGTTACATATGTTACATGTACTGGCCATTATTACGTTCTTAAAACAAGAAAAAGGTTTAAAGAAATTTACATTCTGATGTAGAAGACTATTTTCAGAGAATCTTTAAGATCCATTATCTCTTACTCCACACTGGCAGAGTTTTTCACACACACAAAAAAATCTGCTAATGCAGTAAGATACAACGTATTCGTATTTATATATCTTTATATATATATATATATATATATATATGGCAACTAACATGGCTATTGTTTCTTAATCATTGCATGCTATTTTGTTTCATCTAGGTGCTTTATGGTGGATAAGGATATGTGCGAGATGAATGCCTTGCGGAAAGTCTTCCCAGAGTCAGATATCTTGCTTTGCTGGTATCATGTTATGCAAGTATGTATATTGTATACATATAAATTTAGATATTCTTTATATTTGAAAAATTTACCTTAAGTTATTTATTGTCTCTGTTTTCAGGCTGTTGTCCGCTGGCTTTCAAAAACAGACTCTGGAGTCAGTGGGCCATCAAATACTGATGTTAGAACAGAAATAATTTCTTTCGTCAGAAAGATGAAGCTTTGTGCAACAGTGCGTAAAATTAACAATTCAATTTTGCTTACTTAATTGTTCTATTACAATTATAACTATTTTAAAATAAACATTACATCAGTTAAAATTTAACATTAAATCAACTTTTTTTTTTTTTTTTTTTAATTTTGTTAAAATAGCATCAAGATTTTAAGTCAACTGCTGAACAATTCCTCAAGACGTTTGAAGATTTCCCAGCTCTTTGCTCATACTTCAAGGATCACTGGCTGGAAATAGGACACACGTGGTCTGACTTTGGACGGTGCTACAACCATGCTGACTCTGATACCAACAATCTTGTTGAAAGGTAATATTTGAAATTAAACGTATGAAACTTGATTATACGTTAATTCATGTTACTTGATTATGAGTTAATTCACGTTAAGTTATAGAATCACATCAAAATATCAAACTAATCCAATGACATTAAAACATCCATTGTTTTTCTTTGCTTGTCCAATTAGATTTTTCCATCGCCTAAAATATCAGTTTTTGGGAGGCATTAGGAACCGTAGACTGGATGATCTTATCAGCATTCTCATCAAGAAGACAGATGGATACTTCCAGGTCATTCACGATTTGCAGGCAGTTGGAAGAATGAAAAATGCCTCGTTGAAATCAGGAGAAATACTTAAGTCTGCCTCTAGATTGGTGGAAAAGGGTTGGCAAGATAGCATTAATCTTATATCCAACGACACGTACCTTTATGAAATTCCATCAGAACAAACCCCTGGTCTATCCTACAAAGTTTGTCCATCTGAAAGTTTTTGTAGCTGCCCAATTGGAATCAGAGGACATTCCTGTAAACATCTTGTAGTTACTGAGTTGCTGAGTAAACATGACTCTGAAAAATTTCCTTCTTTGGATCATCAAATAAACGCACATGCTAGCGTACTCAAGCAAAAGAAGCTTTACTCCATTCTGTGCTCTGACACAAAAGAGGTAGATGTACAAAGTTTATGTCATGAGAGAATTTACCACACTTCTGCGATGACATTTCAATGTACCTGTTGTACATACTCTTACATTGAGAAATGTGCTTGCCTTCTACTGGCAAGTGAATTATTTGATGTCACATCAACAAGAGCTGTACCTACTTTGTGGCAAGAAGAGACGTCAATGCTGTTAAATGTGAACACTGCAGCAAACCACTCTAAAACTGAAGTGCAGAAGTTAAAGGACATACTGGACAGTGTGCAGAAATGGCAGACAATTCCTCAGCACATTAGCCAGCAAATTAAAAACCTGCATGACAGTGTAACAAATGCCAGTATGAGTAGAACAGCAGCAGCATTTCAAGCAGTAACTACAGACTTGACCAGAAAGATAAGACCATTGTTTCCACACAGAGCAAAAAACATGAAACGGAAGTATGGACAGAAATTCAAAAGACGACAAACTAAATTGTAAAATGTAGATATGAAAAAAAAAACTAAGGCACCAAGACAATGTAAAATATACATTTAAAATTAACTTGCTACATGTAAGTGTGCATATGAGAAATGAAGTGAAGAAGGCTGCTTATTTTTGGTTGTTTATTTTACTATATACATTTTTAAATGCATTGTTTTACATCTGAAATCTGAAAAAAATAATGCCATCTTTTGTTAATAAATCAAAATAAACATTGAACGTTTTACATTACTCAGCTGTCTGAATGTGTTCTGTAACAGTGATGTATATTTAAACCAATTAAATGTTACATTATTTGCTTAACTAACTGTTTGTTATAATTTAACAATCATTTGTTATTGTGTTCAATGGCTCAGTGAACCTCTACTTAAACTGACTGATTAAAAATGAGATGACAACATCTACCACTTGTGGTCCAAGCGTATGGGTTAGCAGACTAAAAGGTGATTCCTCTCCTAGTTTTTCCCTTAGCAAGCGCTGGAGGGTGCAGAGTGTATTCCTGTAAATATCAATGAACAGATTTTTAAGTAAGAAGCAAGTTTAAAAAAATCTAAATGTGGAAAGCAACTTACTTTGCAACATCTGCCTCAGCACTAGGAACACTTGCAGTCATGTCTAGGTTTACATGTCGCCCAAGCATGGCTCCCAGCTCCTGGGCCAAATCTGTGGCCTCCCCTTCACTGAGAGCAGAGAAGATGCTTATCTTTGTCTTTGCTTTGATCGGTCGCTGTTCTTTGAGCTCCTCAGGGAGATCCTCTTTACGAACCTTTAGGTAAAACCAATGTTACTGTTTTCTAAATGTTTTGCTCTAAATTAAAAGTATAGCAAATAGCTATAAGGTTTATGTAGGGCATATACAAACCCTAATCAGGCTTCTTAACAGATTGTTAGACATGTTTTCTGCCATGATTCTTCTCTTCAGTTCATCTTGGGTTACAATGTATTTCCTTTTGGTGCCTGGCACTGACAGCCTACCCAGAACTGTATAGTTTCCTCCCTGAGTTGTGTTGCCTTCTTTTTTTCCCTCAGGTATCTTTTCCTCCTCTATGACTTCTATTTTTCTTTTCTTGGCTATGTTTTTCTCTTGCCCACTCTCAGCAACCGTTTGCTCCTCTTCACTTTCTCTTTGTTCTGCTTTGTTTTCCTCTGCTGCCCTTTCATGTGCTGCGTAAATAAAACTCAGTCAATCACCAGTATTACAAGATTATTGTAGCACAGGTTAACTACATATTATCTGAAATATAAAAACAACAGAAAGTTATGCTAGTGCACCCTATGCTGTATTTAAAATATCTTCCTAAAATTTGAGAAAATAGTGGCCCATGATTAGAGATATTTTAACTGATTAGATTTCATCAGGCTATATTCATTAGAAAATAGACAAATACACCTTCTAAGCTACTTCGCATTTTGTCCCTGATCTGTGCACGCTTTGAAAATGCATCAGCCAGTGTAAACCAGGATGTACAGTCAAGCTCATCGATTAGTTCTTTGGGAGGATCCTAGAGGAAGGAATTGAAACATAAATGATTTGTTTTATTTTAGTGACATGCACAGTGGCATGATAGAAAGAGAGAAAAAAAGTGCTAACCAACGTCTATGAAACCATTTTACTTAGCCTACCTTCAGAAAGTTCTCTGCATAGAGTAACACAAATATGCCGCATTCAGAGGTGTTTCCTTGCTGTTCGGGTACCCGCACTTTCAGGGCTGGCATAGAATCTGCAGAAAATGTACGGGGCTTTTTTCTTGTGTGGTTCCACATTTCTGTTAAGTAACTGAAATACAAAAACAACCTTATTAAATGTTTATCTCTATGACATTTTATTGAACTTTTTGTTAAAGCATGTCTTTGCAACTTTATGCCTGTTTATATCTTAAAGAGATATAGTCCCACGAAAATTCTATAATCTATCATTTAATCACCCTCATGTACTTCAAATGACTTTCTTCTGCCGACCAGAACACAAGAAGATTGTCATCTTTGAAGATTCTCCTTCTCAGTTAGTTTACAGTCAATGACAATTTTAATTATAAAACAGAATTATTTCAAGCTATATAAATAAAGAATGAACTGTCCTGAAATTGTATCTATCTCTGTGACAGCCTTATACTGTAATGAAAGTGTCTGTGGACCACAGTCTACGGTACTCTATCACACATACAGTACTTATAATTGTCACTCTATGATAATGACTGATCGCAGGTAACCATTTCAAAGTCATCCTTTGTGTTCTATAGAAGAAAGTAATACATGTTTAAAACAAATTGAAATTTTGTGTTGTATTTACATACAACATATATACATATACAACAGAACCAACCTTCGAATGTTTTGGAACACATCCATGCTGTCACTCACTTGCTCAGACTGGGAGTCTAGCATTAAAATGCAAGGCCTAAATGTACAACACAACAAATTTAACACAGAGAAATCTAATAATATAAATGTTTGGTAATGGACTAAAAATAGCAGCGTTATTTCATTGTAGGGGCAAAAGAGCAAAATATAATTACTCAAATGCTAAATACATATTTACCTCCTTTTTTGTACCAATTTTCGTCCCTTTTTGATGTGTTCTACTTCTTCATTTCCAGGGAAGCACACAATCATGAGTCTCCAGTGATTTCTGAAAAACATTAATAGACAAGACAATATAAGTAAAATAAGTTTTGATAATTGCATATGTGCCATTCACAGTGCTACTATCACAGGCCACAATCACTTGGTGTCACATGTCACTAATTTGTAACATGAAAAGTTCATTAGACTGATTATTGCATTATAATAAACCCCAATATGTTGTTACTGAGAATCAACAGACTGTTGGAAGGTGTGACTGGCGAGTCATATTTGAGCTTTACACAGAGCTGTGTAATAATAAGTCATAACAATCAGTAAATAAATAAAGTTCTCACCTAAGAACATTCTCAACAATCAAAAGATAGTCCTTTCGAAAAATGTCCTCATGTTTTGTCCAGTTGATGACACCAGAAAATCCACTAAAATTGCATAGATGACATGATAAATCATGTGGTTACAATAATTCTTCAATAATAGGATTCAATATATAACTATGACACAAAAGGCTTCTTCAAAAGCCATGCGACGATAGACACTGTAGCATGAACATCTACAAATATATAAAGAGAAACCTAAAATTAATTTAATGATCCCTTAGCTTAACACATTGGTTACTCCTACCTGGTTTTTAATTTAGTGTAAAAATACACTGGGTAGATCAAAGATTTCCGCCTTATATGCCGTCTTAATTCTTCATGAACAGACCTAGAAAGATTTAGTTGAAAATTATTGCTAAGAATCTAATGATTTGCAGTTATATCTTTTATCATAAGAATTACCTCAATGCAATGTCCATAACAATGTCATTCAGCCACATTCCATCATCTAGTGTTGCAAGTGACTCTTTCGTCAATAAGGGCACACGGAAGGACCTCAAAGGAAAAAACAAACAAACAAACAAAAAAACAATTTTGTACAAATGTTATAAGTCAAATTTCTGGTTTATATACAGACAGACAATATTTTAATGAATATTTACCCTTTATCTTTCTCCATAGATGATCTGTACAAAGAGGAAAATTAATGTTAACATTAAGAAATTTAAAGTGGTTTCATCTTGTGAGCATCTTCAAATGAGAGAAAACTTATTGAAAGAGCTAAGGAATGATGCCCCTGGGTCAAAAAATATATTGTATTGTTATGATTATTTAAATACAGTGATTGATTACTGTTTGTCTAGATGAGTAATAAGGAATAATGTCCCAGGGTCAACATAAAAATGTTCCTGGGTCACCAAAAAATATTTCATTATTATTATTACATAGATTACAGTTTGCCTTACACTAGATATTATATTATTATAATTATTATTTAAATACAGTGATTGATTACTGTTTGTCTAATTTTAGATATTATAATATTGTTATAATTATTTTAATACAGTGATTGATTACTGTTTGTCTAATATTAGATGAGTAATGAGGAATAATGTCCCTGGGTCAACATAAAAATATGATGTTCCTGGGTCAACAAAAGATATTTCATTATTATTATTATTATTATTATTATTATATAGTGACATATTACAGTTTGTCTTATACTAGATATTATATTATTAGTAAGATTATTTAAATACAGTGATTGATAACTGTTTGTCTAATATTAGATGAGTAATAAGGAATAATGTCCCTGGGTCAACATAAAAATATGATGTCCCTGGGTCAACAAAAGATATTTCATTATTATAGATCACAGTCTGTCTTACACTAGATATTATATTATTATTAAGATTATTTAAATACAGTGGTTGATTACTGTCTGTCTAATATTATATATCATATTATTATTATTATGATTAGATTATTTAAATACTGTGATTAATTACTGTTTGTCTAATATTAGATGAGTAATAAGGAATAATGTCCCAGGGTCAACATAAAAATATGATGTTCGTGGGTCAACAAAAGATATTTCATTATTATTATTACACTCTAAAAAATGCTGGGTTGTTTTAACCCAGTTTTGGGTCAAATATGGACAAACCCGAAATGTTGGGTTAAAAATGTAATGTAAAAATTTAACCCAACGGCTGGGTTAGTCCATATTTGACCCAAATTTGGGTTAAAACAACCCAGCATTTTTTAGAGTGTATATAATGAAATATTACAGTTAGTCTTATACTAGATATTATATTATTAATATGATTATTTAAATACAGTGATTGATTACTGCCTGTCTAATATTAGATATTATATCATTATTATGATTATTTAAATACAGTGATGTTTGTCTTATATTAGACGAGTAATAAAGAATATTGTCCCTGGGTCAACATAAAAATGTTCCTGGGTCAACAAAATATATATTATTATTATCATTATTATTATTGTTATTATTATAGTGAAATATTACCGTTTTTCTCATACTAGATTTTATTATTATGATTATTTAAATACAGTGATTGATAACTGTTTGTCTAATATTAGATGAGTAATAAGGAATGATGCCCCTGGGTCAACATAAAAATGTTCCTGGGACAACAAAAGATATTTAATTGTTATTATTATTATTATTATAGTGAAATATTACAGTTTGTCTTATACTACATATTATTATTGTGATTATTCAAATACAGTGATTGATTACTGTTTGTCTTATACTAGATATTATTATTATTATTATTATTTAAATACAGTGATTGATTACTGTTTGTCTAATATTAGATGAGTAATAAGGATTGATGTCCCTGGGTCAACATAAAAATGTGATGTTCTTGGGTCAACAAAAGATTTATTATTATTATTATTATTATTATTATTATATAGTGAAATATTACAGTTGTTCTTATACTAGATATTATTATTATTATATAAATACAGTGATTGATTACTATTTGTCTAATATTAGATGAGTAGGCCTAATAAGGAATAATGTCCCAGGGTCAACATAAAAATATGATGTCCCTGGGTCAACAAAAGATATTTCATTATTATTACTGTTATAGATTACAGTTTGTCTTATACTAGCCTAGATATTATTACAGGCTAATTATTATTTAAATACAGTGATTGATTACTGTTTGTCTAATATTAGATGAGTAATAAGGAATAATGTCCCTGGGCCAACATAAAAATATGATGTTCCTGGGTCAACAAAAGATATTTCATTATTATTACTATTATTATTATAAATATTATTATTATTATATAGAGAAATATTAAAGTTTTTATGATACTAGATATTATTATTATTAAGATTATTTAAATACAGTGATTGATAACTGTTTGTTTAATATCAGATGAGTAATAACTAATAAGGAACGATGTCCCTGGGTCAAAATAAAAATAAGATGTCCCTGGGTCACCAAAAGATATTTCGTTATTATTTTTACATAGATTACAGTTTGTCTTATACTACATATTATTATTGTTGTTATTATTATTATTATTATTATTAAGATTATTTAAATACAGTGATTGATAACTGTTTGTCTAATATTAGATGAGTAATAAGGAATGATGTCCCTGGGTCAACATAAAAATATGTCCCTGGGTCAACACGAGATATTTCATTATTATTATTACATTAGGCTACAGTTTGCCTTTTAGGCCAACTAGATATTGTATTAACATTGCTATTATTATTTAAATACATTGATATTTTACAGTTTGTCTTATATTAGATCGATATTATTTTGATTGAAAAACCTGCATTATTGGTATTTGGTCCCACTCGCGAAAGTGTTTTGGTTTTCTTTTGCAAAAGGATTAGCATGAGGGTCTGCTAAACGATTGCAGGGGAAAAGTGATATATCAACGGGGGAAAAGATCCGACGATACGATCACGGGGAAAACACCATACCGGATCGGATGACGAAACGATCGCGGTCGGAGGAGATTCACACCTTATTTAAGCAGTTTAGTTCATGTTAGCGTGACTAATTAATTAATCGTAAGATTAAAATGAACACATTCCACTGAGTATACGGACAAATTGCACTTACCTCGCTCTGTGAAATGAAGCAGAGACGTTGAAGCCTGAGAAAATCAAAAAGTGGCGCTCGATCTGGGTGATGTCACATGCTGAATCTGATTGGTTGATCAATTTTGCACAAGGCACCTCCCTTGTTGACCCAGGAACGCGTCTAACTCGGCAGAATCAGGACGTGCCTTCTACCTCCACCTGGAGAAAATCGACCGCTATGTTATGCTGTTAGAAGTTTAATTTTATGTTGTTTCTATGTTGTTATGTTGTTTCTATTTAATAATTTAAATAACATTATTTTATGTAGATGTTTTGAAAATAAGTATTTCTCATCACTAATCTGTTTCTTCCATAGGCCTGCGCGAGAGTGATCTTTACACTATACTGAACATGTGCAATGATTTAAACTCCAGAGGAGGGCCAGTGTCATGGCAGGAAATTGTCCATACAGCAAGGCATCCACAGAGCCGTGTTCCCATGGCAATATTCTCTCAGCTGGCACAATCTTTGCACAGGTACAGCACAGGGAAATGTTTGATATCTTAATAAAAAATAGCTTCTATTTTATACATTGAATGATTTATTCTTATTGTATCACCAGTATAATTGGACAGTCTCATGGTCAGGGGTCAGATGACCTCCTGACTTTGACTCATCCAGAGGTGAGGTCAGCCTTTGAACATCTGTACCTGTCTACTGAGGAGAGTAGAACCAGAAGTCATCTGATAATTGCAGGTAAAACAGGATGCATGCAAATTGTGATTAAATGTTATGTTTTATACTCTACAGTGCAGTAAGGTTTTTTTTTAGTTTTTTTTTTTTAAAGAAATTAATACTTTTATGCAGCAGCCAGCCTTGTATGTATTTAATGAAAGTGACAGTAATGACTTTTTAATTGTTACAGAAGATTTATTTTTTTCTAATAAATGGTGTTCTTTTAAACTTAGTATTCATCAAAGATTCCTGAAAAATAAAGCATTGTGGTTCCCACAAAAATATTAAGCAGTACAACTGTTTTCTACTTTGGCAATGAAAAAATAAATCTTAGTACGCTGATTTCACGCAGACGCCATTTTGAAATGTCAAAATGTTTTCTTCGGTGGGAATATAACCGGAAGTGCTGCCTTTAATCATAGGAGAGTCGCGGATGTGATGGCGTATTGCTGTGATTAATGTAGAAATTAGTTATTCAAAAAATGTACATGCATTTCTTTCATAGTTTAGACTATATACAGTGAAATTCATTTCTAAATGAAAATGTATATTATATATATATATATATATATATATATATATAATTCAGAACGTAAAAAAGAAGCAGGAACGAACTATATACATATCCTATATTGGATATTAACAGCCAATAGTGTAAATTCAGAAACAGACTTTTGAACAGTAGTCTATGTGTTTTTATATATTTATTTCTAAATAACATCTTTTTTTCAGCCCACCTTTGGGTGCGGTCAAATCCTCAGGGGAAGGACACATTTCTTTACTCTGATGCTGATATTCTGTCTCATCTCCCTACCCACCTGGTCAGTGTCCCCCTACTCTCTTCTTCAACCTTTGAGCTTCAGTTACCAATGTGAGGTTACTAAACTCAAGAGATGTCGATTCTCTCTCTTTCCGATCAGATGGTTGGTAATCAATGGGAGCCTTTGCGTTTTCTGCTATCGAGTTACTACTTCCTCTATGCTAATGTGCGGTATGGACTGCTTCACCAACTTCTGGAGACCTACATTTTGTTCGGTACAGAACCTGATGTTTTTCAGTACTGCATTTTTCCTTTTTTATGTTTAGTTCACAGGTTCTCATATTGATTGTTTTTCATTTGATCCATTTAGCCCAAAAATATGGGACCGATCATCTGCAATCCAAAAAATCAACAGGTATTTTACTTTTATATTTTTGTATGTTTATGAAAACCCTACAACACTGACATTTTAAAAATATCTAAAAATGAATTCATGATCTTAATATGTACTAAAACTACAAATTATAGTTTTTGCGGTAAACCTAAACCAAATTTGTGTGTTTTTTTTCAGATAACCTGAAGGATTTTAAAGACTGTCTCAGTTTTCTGAAGCGGCACCGCCTCCTCCTCTCTCAGTGGCCTGCTCTCTTTGTACAAACAGCTCTTAATGAACCATGTGACAGCTCTGCACACTTGTGGGCTGAAAGCATGACAAGAAATGGAGGGGTGCATGCTGTAGAATGGCTAAACTTCACAGATGCAGCACCAAAAGAAGTCAGGTACTAATCAATTAATAGCATTTTATTCTCAGATCAGAAGTTCCGTTTAATTCTGGCTGACCTACAGTTATACACTTATTAAAAAAAATCCAAAATTTTTTTTCAGGTTTAAAATTTAGATTTAAAATTATATTTCAATTAATAATTGAAACACCACTATGTGCAAAGGTTGTTTTTCTATGTATGTTAATTATTTCTTCTGCTCAGTGAGCTGGTTTCCACCTTCCACTCTGAGCCAAGTTGTGTGGTAGTGAGTCCTGATCGAAAACTGGTTGCAGTGGGAACTTTAGAGGGAACACTTCACTTTCTGCATACAGAGACTGGAGAGGTAACAGTTCAAAACGTATATAAACATACGTCTACTATGATTTTCTGCATTTTTAAGATAGTTCAATCACAATTAACTTTTTTTACATATGTTTTTTTCAAACAGGAAGTGAAGTCATTGATGAGCAGTGGTGATGGCATCTCTGGATGTATTTTCCTTGGGGAGGAGCTTTTGGCAACAACCTCGTTTGATGGGCAGGTGGAGGTGTGGGATGTTGCGAGTGGTTGCAGGTAATTTGTTTTTCTGGCTCAAATGTACAATTTACATAGAGTATTTTGCATGGGGTGTCATCTTCGGTTTCTTTTTTGCTGTCACTTTAAGAACTGCCCACATGAATGCCCACTCCAACAAGATCACAGGATGTGATGTCAGTCCTGACAGAAAACTTTTTGCTACCGTTTCATTAGACCTAAACTTGAAGGTAAAACCAAGGAAAAATCATTTAAAATCTGTAATAGATGTAGTGCTGTTCTATTCTAACATATTCATCATTTATCTGGCTGTACTCAGGTGTGGTCTGCGCAGAAGAGCACAGAGGTGGCCTCTCTCATGAATCCCTCCCCCCTCAACTGTGTGAACTTTGACCTTGAGGGCCAGCTCTTGGCAGTGGGCTGCTGGGATGGAGCTGTTCGTTTGTGGAACTGGCTTGAACAGAAAAACGTTACGGTGAGGAAAGACTCCAAAGATATGTTGCTATGCCAGATATACTAAAACTTAACTTCCCTCCCAATGCTTTCTCGTTTTTTAGACTTTGTTAGGTCATCAGAGTTCAGTGCGGAGTCTGTCTTTCTCTCCCTGCTCCTCCATATTGTGCTCAGGCTGTCTGTCAGGAGAAGTGCGGCTCTGGTCAGTGGCAGCAGGTGCTTGTGTGGGCAGTTATCATGCTCACCGCGGCTCCACACAGTCACTAAACTTCCTGCAGGGAGGAAACCTTTTGCTGAGCGCTGGACATGACAGTGTGGTGAGGACTAGGGTCTTACATTCTACAATGTTCAGTTGTTAGATTTGTTTGCACTCTAACAGGCATCCTAAAACACTCCCTATTGTGGCTTTTTTATTGTCCAGGTTAATGTTTGGTCCGGTGGTCTTGGGCGATCTGTCACTGTACTGGGAGAGAAAAAGGTACTTTCATGTTCTTAAAGGGACACTCCACCCATTTGCATTACGATTTTACATTTTTAGAAATCCAGTCGTACTATTGAATAGTCGTGCAACACTCTCTCATTTTCCCCTGAGAGGAGAGAAATACGCTATTTACCTTTTTCACTTCGTCCTACAATGTCCAAAAAATCATCATTTTACGTCACTGTAAGAGGGGGGAGCCATTATCAATATACAGGAGACTCCCTGAACGTCTAATAGCGAGGGGATTAATGATGCCGAAGACAAAACGCTCCAAGGTTTGACTGCATTTCACGTGTAAAATTACGCGTCAGAGTAAGTGTGCCGATTGTCTGAAGCCCATATAGAATCACGCCAATCCATTGGCTGATGGCGCGGGCGCCGCCTTGACGCTCTTACGTCGTCATATTATATTAGTGCACATTATCAGATTTCATTGTGGGAAATGATTTCCAGGCTGTAGCGTAGAGTAGAGCTCAACTCTAATCTACATTGATGGGTGGAGTAGTAGGAGCTGAGCATTGCAATGCACTATGGGGATTGTTGTCTACAATCCACAAGCACTAAAAAGTCATTTTCTGCCTTTTATCGGCCAAGAAGGACCCAAATTAGAAATTTATGATACTTTTCTACTACATATATGACCCAGTTTCAATACATATTCATGTCTCCACCGGTAGAATTACCCTTTAAATTAGTACTTTCATGTTCGTGTACTTTCATGTTCTGAAAATAGAATTGCTTTTTAGAAGTACTAGCAGTATAAGCAGTATAAATAGTTTAACAGGTATGAATTCAGCCAGAACAGCTTGATGTACAGATCCCAAACAGTCTTTTTCTGCCCCAAGGTTTGTATACAAACTTGTATATCTGAATATGTTTAAATGATGTTTAGGCCTGTTCATTTAACTTTTCAACTTTGTGTGATTGAATATTCTAATTTAGGGGTCTATGAAGATTTTTTTGAGTGCCTATAGGGAGGATATTAATTAATCATCATTTGCAGGTTACAGTATTGCAGCAGCAACAAAAGCGCACCAGACATGGAAATGAAGATGAAGCAAATGCTCTGTGTGTGGCTGTGGCCAGTGGGCATGCTTATGTGGGTTACCATGGAGATGGTATCAAAATGTTCAGTTTGAAGTCAGGTACATAAACATTTGTTTCCAACATTTACTAATGTACTCCTCCACAAGCTTGGAGCTCATATTTTCAAACTGCTTCTCAATCTTGCATGTTCTCAAAAGCCATACCATGAACGAAATAAAGTGCAAAAAAACAATCCACTTAATAATAATGGAGAAGACTGTGAGTAACCAGAAGTAGAACCCATCCTGAAATGCTTTGTGCTGTAGGAGAGAAGGTCTGGGCCAGTGAGGAGTTGCAGGTGTCCATGCTCTGCCTCATGTGGATGGAGGAGGAGGAACAGAGCTGCTGCTGTCTGGGAGCATGGACCACCGTCTCAGAGTCTGGGAAAGGCAAGGAGAAAATTTGGAAAGCCTTGTGTCAGTAGGATCTTTTGGCGTGCAAAAGGGAGCTATCCTCGCTCTGGCTCAAAGCTCTACTTGTGTGGCATCTGCATCTGGTCAGTAAGCACAAAACATTTTGTCAATTGATTTTGGACCATACTGGACATTTAATTTTTGCATGCTCTTTTCAACCTATTTTTACATTTAGACATTTACATTTTTCAAACACTCACTTAAAGTTATTCTTTAAAAGCACTATAAATAATTTAATAACATTAAAATGTAGTCTTTAGTAAATCTCAGAATGAATATCCATTTTCACGTACATTCTAGGTTGCCATTTTTAGACAACTGAGTAGTTTTTAGAAATTACAATTTATTTCATGTTTTAAAATGTTATTTTATTGAAATTTTAATTTTGTTTTAGATGACTTCACTATTGCTCTGTGGTTGAAGAGTGAATTGACATCTAAGCCCTGGATCGACCCTAAGGTGATGTGTATTCTGAGAGGTCACAACGGAGGGGTCACATGCCTTGCTTTCAGTCCTAATGAAAAAGAGTTGCTGTCAGGAGGGAAAGATCAGGTACTTAGTCCACTCCATATCTATCACTGAAAAAAAAAAAAAAAATGGAAGAAAGTGTACTCTCTCACAAGATTTACTATCATAATCTCTTCCAATAGGCTTTGATGATATGGAATGTAAACTCCTCCCCTCCAGTACTTTCCCAGTCTTTTCCCCATTGCCATGGAGACTGGATTACGGGATGTGCCTGGACGTCAACTGCAGTGGTAAGAAATCCTATCCATCCAAGGGCATTTAGTTAATTTCAGTAACTCAGAATTTGTGTGTCTAACCAAATGCAAAACTTCTGTTACACCTCAGCTTAGCTGCTCCAGTGACTGTAAGCTGCGGATTTGGGATATCCAGACAGGAAGTTTGCTGAGAGAGATCCTGTCTGGTTCATCTTTGAGCACATTGTGCTGTTGGGTAAGTCAGTTGCACCTTAAAGGATTAGTTCACTTTAAAAAAAACTTTTGCTGATAATTTACTCAACCCCATGTCATCCAAGATGTCCATGTCTTTCTTCAGTCGAAAAGAAATGAAGGTTTTTGATGAAAACATTCCAGGATTTTTCTCCATATAATGGACTTCAGTGGACCCCAACCATTTCAAGGTCCAAATGACAGTTTCAGTGCAGCTTCAAAGGGCTTTAAATGACACCAGACGATGTTGTTTAAGGGTCTTATCTAGCGAAACGATCGGTCATTTCAAAAATAAATAAAAAAGTTTAAGTTTAAGTTCGAAAACGTACATCAAAATGAACAAATCTTTTTTTCGAGTCATTCCGTTCATTTTGTTCGTTGAATGAACCAAATGACTCGAAAAAAGATTAGAAAAATCCTGGAATGTTTTCATCAATAACCTTAACACATGGACATCTTGGATGACATGAGTTTTTTTAAAAGTGAACTAATCCTTTGCAAGCAAGAAGCAAGGTCACAAAAATAAACAATAAGTGTAACCTGTTGATATTTATGTGATTTTTAATGACTTTAGGAGGATCATGTAATGGCAGGCTCTACAGATGGACTGCTGATGGTTTGGAAGTGGGAATCAGGCATACAAGTAACCAGGATCCAGGCCCACAATTCCCGTCTCAATCATTGCGCTGTTGTCTCTCAGACAGGTACTGTGAGTCTGTGACTAATGCACAAATTTACACACAAACAGCAGCTTGACATCTAAATAGTGTATCTTGCTTAAACAAACCTTCTTAGCAAAACCATTTGTTGCATACAGATCTGGGAGAGAATTTAAAACCAGAAGACTTATTGGTAGCTTCAGCATCAGGAGATGGAACTGTTAAACTCTGGCATCCACTGCAGGTAACCAACTCTCACCTCTGTATTTTTTTCATTAATCATTTATTTATATTTATTTAAATAAAAGTAATTGTAAATCAGATATTTTAAATAATTATCAATGTAAATAATTTAAATAATTACATTAATAATTAATTTATAAAACAATTTAAATAATTATCAATAAACAATGTGCTCAAGAGATTAATTCTAGGAAATCATAATATATCGCGACCGTATTGTTGATCAGATGATACTGTATATTTAATTATGAAATCATTTCCACCGATATTTACGTAAATTTAGATCTTTGCAGCCATTAAAAGCACTCAAGTTTTAATATTTTTAATAAAACACTAATAGTTTAATAACAATGTTAAATGTAATCTTTAGCAAATACCAAGATAAATAGTCATTTTCATAATGTATAATGGTGTGGTGCCTAAATTAACTTTAGCTTAGTTTTTTATTTTTACTTTGTTTTGATAAAATGGTATAACAATACTGGCCATTTTTATTGGCCATAAAATGAAAATAACTCTCATCTTATCTGCATCAGTCAGATTTTTATATCAGTGCATTGCTAATTTATTCACAACAATTACATTTTCATAGGTACATCATCATAATACCCTGCATGGTCACAGTGCAGAAATCCAAGCTTTAGTGTGCAAAGAGGCCGGACTGCCGGAGTTTTCTCACTGTCTCTGTGGATCGTTCCCCTCAGGTCATGGAGTGTCACCACGGCAATGGGTACGAAAGAATGGTCATTCCCAATGAACTCAACTAAACTGTCACACAAATCCTCAGAACATTTTTTTTAGTGAACAAAAGCAGCTGTCCATTCCAAAATATCATTTGATTGGCAACTTTTTTTTACACACAATTATCCACAGAAGCTCCTCCTTCCCAGAAAGGCAGTGTCAGAGCTGTGTGCTTCCTTGATACTGATGATGAACTCATGGTCTGTGGTTATGACACAGGCAGATTGGAGATATGGCATCAGAGTTCAGTGGTTTACTGGACGAAGGTAATCGTCTGTTGGGAAATGGGTTTATTATTTGTTGATCAGTTAGTAAAAATAACTTTACCTTCTTTTGGTTGAAAATATCTGAATGAGCGGCTCTGTGTGTGTTTGCACTAAGGTCAGTGATGGCGCCTTATGTGCAGTCACTGGTATGCCAGAGGATCAGTTAGCTGTGGCTTGCAGCGACTGCTCTGTATTTTGTCTGGAAACTGGAGAGAGACACCAAGAAGAGCATTGTGAGGTATCAACTTTTAT